AGACCTATGTTTTACTTCATGTCTGATATCAAATTAATAGCATATCTCACGGGCTATGAGATTGGCCTTTGTGCAAAAAATAACTGTGAGTTAAAGGAAAAGAAACCATTCTCTGGGTCTAATTCCACTGTAGTTGAATGTTGAAAGTTATAAATAAATTGGCAATCGAAACAGAGTTTTATTGTATCTTTACTAATTTGAGATAGTGCCGGGGGGGTGTTCATCCTGGGGGGACACCAGGGGCGGATACAGAGATTTTTGGTTCCAAACTTTTGTTCAGAAAAGACTGTTGGACTCTTTTGAGGCAAATTACTTCTCTCCCACACACACCCCCTCCCACCAGTCGCGGTTGCACGTTATAATTCCTTGGCGCCTTACCGTTTACTAGGATTCATTAATGAAAAAAATCAGCCAGTTAAAAAGTGATGTACATATACGATCCTGTCAATGTAAGAATTTCATTCTCAAAGTTGTAAGCGTCGGGTCTGATAGGGGGGGTCCGGACCCCCCGGACCCTCCCCCTGGATCCGCCACTGGACGCTTACTGGACATTTTGACCTAGAGGAGTCCGCGGGAAAGGTGGACGCTTATTCGAGGAAATAAGATCCTTGAAGAGGATGCAATTTTGAGGATGTGAGTAAGCAGCAGCCTTCAGCGACTATTAAAAACTCAGTAGAAAAAACAAACAGTTAAAAATTCTGGCGGAAACTTCTTATTTCGAAAGAAATAGATGACTCATGGCCTACAACAACGTGGCTAAAATCCTGCTTAATCATAATGTGTTGTATGTAATCTTCTTTAACTATTTTTTTGCTAGTTGTCCCTGTATGTCGCAGGAGCTGTGACTCGTCCCCAGAGCCACTCGTTTTGACTCTCCCACAAAATGACCGACGAAGTGGACTCTGGGAACGACAATTTGCTTGGCATCCCAGTTAGCAGTTGGGGTGTATGAACCCGTGCTGTGGATCTGTGATTTCAAAAACAGTTACTGCAGAATGGCTTTTAATCCAAATTTTAACGACATAGGGAAAAATTTTGCGCAAGTTTACTACCAAACGTTCGACACCAACCGAGCAAATTTGGCATCTTTATATGTGAGTCTGCTTACGTGTTACTAACTTTACCATGGAACACACAACGTGTAATATGAGCATTTAGCGAATCTCTGATGTTACAATTTTGTATTTTTGCTTTGTTTTGGATAAGAGATCATTCAATTTGAGAATTCGTAAGTTTGATGGCTGTTTAGAGTGCTTCAAAAGACATTTTGTTGAATTCGATATAACTCGTGCTATAATAGTCAGCGGTCTGTATCACCAAAACCGATAACTTTTGAATTGGTTTGATGAGTAATCTTTGTTCATTACTCGAAACATTGGGTAACCGATGATATTTACCGCTCAATTTTTCAACCAGTATTTAGTCGTGGAATATTAATTTAAGTGTGATTTTTTTTTCAATTTGTTGTTCTTTTGAAGGAAAGCCAGTCTATGTTGACTTTTGAAGGAGATCAATTTCAAGGAAGAGAACCTATTATGAAGAAACTTACAGTAAGTCTTAAGGCTTGAATTACTTTGTACACAGAGAGATCTAGTCCAAAACATGCTTTTTTTTCTGTTGATATGTGTAAGTGGATAAAATTAAATGGGTTCTGCATTCTTCATTTATATCGCTGTATATCCCCTTACCTGAAAAAAATGCCTCAGTAACTGTGAAATATGCTGAAAAAGGTTGAATTTCAAACGTTAGTTTACTTCATGTCATGATTCGTTGCATGATTGTTTATTTTACTGACTCAACAAAGAGCCTGATTTTAAAATTGGCAATGCAGAGGAAAGAATATTTTGCTTTATTAAAAACTAGATCATTGGATAATGCAATTCAAGACTTTTTATTGGCTTAGCCATTATGGTATATCAGCCAATATACCATAATCTACAAATATGGTAAGTGTACGTGTCAGCTTACAATTAAAAGAGAGCTAAAAATTTCATAAAATTTAATAATTTAATTTAACGTTTTTAATAAAACAATTATTCCACTCGCGCTTGTTGTATATGAGATGATTATAGCCAACTCGGCGCTACGTGCCTCGTTGGCTATCTATCATCTCATATCCAACATGCGCTCGTGGAATAATTGTTAAATAGACCCAAGGTGACTTAGGTGAGGGAAAGATGATATTTTTTATCCATAAAGGCTTTCTTTAGAAATTCCAAGACTGTTGATTTTTTTACAGGGACTACCATTTACCACTGTTAAACATGTGATAACCACTATTGATTGTCAGCCAAGTACAGATAATGGAGTTGTAGTGTTTGTTGTCGGACAACTCAAGGTACTGAGCTTAAAGCATTTGTCTTATTTCTTTGTGTCAGCAAGAATAGTAATTACCATCCATTTTTTACTCTCTTATACCCTTGATAACAGGTTTGACGAGGATTGAATGTGTTTGTTTCTTTCCTTAGACAGATGATGACCCTCCACATGGCTTCAGCCAATGTTTCCACTTGAAGCCAGGGAGTACAAATTATTTTGTTCTTCATGACATGTTTAGACTAACCCTGCATCATGGGTGAAAAGGATAACACTCAACAAATATGAAGATCATTGTTGTTCTCAGTGCATGTAAATGGATGTGGTGGTGTGTGACCTAGTAATAATATGCAAAAAGCAATCGAGGATATGCAGTTTTGTGGAAAAACCAAAGTAAATGCCTGTCCAGTACTACTCTGTAACTTAAAACGGTAGAGTTTTAAATGCAGCTTTTACTTGGTTGTTGACAAACCAGGCAATAACTATTCTCTAAAGTCTTGGATAATAAATTATTTTTTTGCAGGTTCATTTACTATTCTTTAACAAAAAAAAGTTACTTGCTAATTCCACATTGATGGCATAGTTTCTGATGGAATGGCCAATATTTTAGGAGTGCTAATAGACAACCATTGTACTGCAGAGAACTTGCAGTTACTGCATGCACCACTTGCAAGTTTCATAATCCTTGAAAAATATGCAAGTTGAAATGATTCTTCAGGTTTCTTATTAACCATCTTTTTAGATATTACTTACAGGAGCAAAGCCACCTTTTTACTTTGAAGTCTTGTGTTATAACAGTGAAGCAGGTGGAGAAAGAACTATAGGCTGGCTATGTCCCTTCCTTAGGTATTATTTAGGTTTGGATTCAAAGTGTTCTTTTAAAATAAAGTTTTAGCAAAGAGCTTGTTTCCCACACGGTGTGTCAAATGCATGTCACTGGCTCAATTGTCCTTAATTCCCATGATGGTACAGTAGTCAGTGAAAAGGTTTGCCACAAAGAAGTCTGCAAGGAACTCACCTAACAGCATGATGATATCAGAGATTTCACTGCACATTTTACAAGAATAAGAGTTTAACCCTTGTGCTGTTATTTAAGACAGTATAATCCCAAATCCCAGGTTCCTAAAGGTAATAGTTGCATGACATTGCTCAGAGTGTTTAAATGATTATTATAGACAACTGCTTACTCTCTCAGTATTTGAAGTTACTCCCCCAATTTTACTGGAGATAAAAAGGTTATATATTTAGCTTTGCCTAAATATCTCAGGCAGGGAGACCACTATAGCTTTAGCCATTTACAGTGGATCACGTGTTAACAATGACAAGGCTACACCCCCCCCCCACTAATTCCTAGTTAACAGGCCAGACCAACCCACAGCAATCTTTTGAGTGGGTTCTTTAATGTCCCCTGTCTAACCAAATTAACTAATTAAGAGAAGAGGGGAGGGGACCTACGGTTTATTCATACTTATCCAAGAAGACTAGAATGTCTATCCATTTCTTGATATTATAGAAAGGTAGCACATTCTTCTCAGTTATTTTAAGACCTTGCGTGTTGGTCCGGCCAGTGCTTGAACCCTCTACCTCCTGCACAACAGTCCGGCCCTCTTACCAATTGAGCTCACCAGGAGGCAGTTAAAGAAATTGTAAAAAAATATGAAGAATTTTGGTGGCCTCTTTGATGCCATATGTAAGGTAATCTTCACATATTAGTTTTACTGGCAGGAGTGATATGAATAACTTCATACACTGTTGATTGCCCACAAGCAAGTTATCAAACTTGTTCCCAGGCTCCTCTCTATCCTCTCGAGGTGAGAGGGGCAAGGTGGGCTAGCAATTATGTCAACACAGTTATCAATGTGTGGTTTTTTACTTGGATGGTGTGTAAAGTAAGTATGATACCCTCACCTTCTGATGTACTATTTTCCCTAAACTCGTTGCATTCACAAGAGTCTTTAACTAACCCTTCATTTCTACCTTCTCTCAAAGCTTTTATCTTCCCCCAACTACTTCAGTGTGTGAGATTGGTCTAAACACATCCCATGACTGCCTTGGCTAAAACTCAGTAAATATCTTATGATGTTCCCAAATTGACCTTCCCCGATTATCCATAATGATGTTAGTCTTCATTTGATTTAAGATGAAAGAGCGGTTTGCTTTCGTTGCAAAAGGGAGATCTTTCTTTGTTCATAATGTCCTCCTAAAGGTTAATGGGAAGTGAACATCCCATGCAGTAAATAGAAAGCTATTGATAAACATTTTATCCTGTGCTCTACAAACACATTTGAAGGACACCTTACACGTTAGCCTCCAAGATAGCCAGAAAGGGGTTTATTTATTGTATTACCCACCCATTACTTTTCGTATCGCTCATCGACGCGACGGCAAATTTTGTTGACTTTTTTTGTACTTTTGGAAGCAGCATTTGAGATCAGCTTTTTAACTTCACTACCACTGGACTCTACGAGACGAGTTGGTTTTTTTCCTTGTAAAGATAGTAATAAAGATGAAAAAGTGAAACTCTTGAGCTGGCTTTGTTTCTTTAGTAATTTGGATATATCAACAAAGTTGAAATGATAAATTGGCCACCGTAACGATTACAAAAGCTGACGTTTCGGGCGTTACCCCTTCGTTTCTTTGGAATGGAAATAATTAAAGGACAACTATCGTAAACGGGGGTTATTGCGTGACGACTTTCCAGTGATTCTGTACCACGCGAACGCTTTGGTTGTAAGCACAGATATTTGTCTGCAGACGTTATCTGTATCGAGAAGCGAAAAGTTTTCCGTAAGAGAAATTCGACAAAAAATGGGAGCTTCAAGGAACATAAAATATCTATTAGGGAAACACACAAGGGCATATTTTAGCGTGAAACGGATGCTGTTGTTTAAATAATTCCTACATACAGGCTAACTTCGTATTTCTGGCTGATGTCCTGCCTTGCGTCCATTCGTTGCAATTCTTACATTTTGGAGTCTCCGTTAGAATGGACTACCAACAGGAGGCCGCAGTGGCCTTCACTTGGGCTTCCTGCCAAGATAGCATCATTTTGTGCCTTGTGGTTACTAACTTAAAGACAGTAACGCACCATGTTATGATACTTTAAGTCCGCAAGTATAAGTAGCTACATCCTTCCGAAGCGCAGAGAACGACGGCATAACGCAACTACTCGCTTTTTCTAAATAAACAACTATATCTTCTTACCTGGTAGGATTACCTTTGTGATTACTGACTGACTGCCAGTAACGCACTATTCTATAGCAAATGAATAAAGGCTGATAGTTTCTAAAGAAACTGTTTGGGGCTGCGTCGGTGGGGGTAACGAAATAATTTCAATATATAAACAAAGTTGAAATGGTAAATTGGCCACCGTTAAGATTTATAAAAGCTGACGTTTCGAGCGTTAGCCCTTCGTCGGAGCGAATAGAGGAATTGTGGGTTGTGTGTGCTTTTAAAGGCAGAAAATGGAGCTACGTGAAGCAAGTCGAATTAGAGGATTTTTTTGTTAAAAAGTAACAAACATGAAAGACAAAACAACCAGTTTATAGGACTTTTGTTTAGATTGTCAGAGCGTCTGTGCAGACAGGGAAGACGAAAAACGCGATCGAATTTTAAACTTACAGTTTTTTCAAAGGAAACACGACTAATTAAAATAGATGGACAATGTAGATGACCCTCCTGCTTTTACGTCAGTGATTCAAAGAAAACGAACTGAGAAACTGCAAACTGCGAAGGTTTAGGGGATAGGGAAAAATATTATTTTTATCCAGAGTTGTTACGCTAAAGAAGAGGGATACAGAAAAATTGAATTAAAGAAAAACATGTCAATAGATTTTCAAGGAGCAAATTAGAAACTCCAAACTATCATGACATAAAATAAGGACGGTGAATTGCACACCCATGTTCGGCTGGAGCCTTTTTAATGTTGTGACTGCATAAAAATGTCTGAGAGGTCCCACGGAAAGCGGAACCCTGTCTCAGTGAACTAATCACAATTTCAAATCTCAAGCGACGCACTGCAAATGAACGGTTCATTTCACCATGATTATTACATTATCACTGTTGCACGTTATTAACAATAATTTTTAGATCGGCAGCCTAGAGGAATAACACTATTTTGCCCCGAACATCTGAGGTCCATTTATCTCATGAATAAGCCAACGCCTTTGTGATACACTCTTACAATATATCGATGAGTACGAAAAGTTACCAAGTAAGCTATGCCGTGCTTTTGACTGGATTCGTTTTGATACGTTAATAAATTAAAATAAGCACTGATTTAGCAAAAATATAGTTCCTTTACATACAAATACCGATGACGAAAATATAATAATACATTTAAGCACATTAGTCTAACTTGTTACTGCCTTTTCCATATTCAATTCCAAAATTCGTTATTGTTTTGAATGAAAATTTGGGTGTCTGACAAACGTCTAGGCATCTCTATAAGTGACGGACGAGTCGGCAGGAACAAGACCAACTGCAGAAAAGGAAAGTAAAAAGAAGTCACAAGGAGGGAAATGTTACCAAGTATCTTCACAATTATATCTCTCACGAGTAGAAGAACCAATCTGCGTATCCAGTCGTGACACAAAAGGAGAACTTTCTTCACAAAGCAGTGAGTGTTGAACAAGAGATTATTAACTGTTTATAATCTCTTGGTGTTGCATTATGTTCTTGAAGTGTTATATGTACGTTTTGCTTCCTTTTTGCTTCATCTTCATCTCCATGGATGTTAGTTTTTAAATTTTAACAAATGAAATAAAGGTGGTTCCCAAACGATATCTGAAACTGCGAGTTTTCATTTTCCATCTGAATGCGAAGGAGGCAAGTTTATCGAAGGTCAAATTCCCCTCCCCCCTCACCCCTCTTATCCTAATCAAAACCGTCACTTTTTTGACAAATTATCGCGTTTCTCTTTTAGGAGAAGAGAGAAGGGCCTCGGTTTAACTTACGTTTTTGTTTTCGGACAGAATCCAAGTGTTCTTTTCCGAGAGGGGCTCCCGCTCCAGGCCTACCCCACATCTTGTCCATGGTCTTCAAATGCTGAGAAAGTCAAAAGAGATGGCGACTCAACCACTAAATAACGCAACAGTCGGGTATAAATATAATCATTCTGTCGAAAGAAACTCTCAAATATCATGACAGCGAATATACTACAGCAATGAATTTGGAAAGGCTAACGTTTACGGGGTCAGACTGGTACGGTTTAGGGATCAACACAAATCTAACCTATACTTAGTACATGGCGTGACAGTCGCGTACCTCTACAGACTTGATTCTCTGTTGTTCTTCACTCTGTTTGCGATTCTTATATCTTTCCTGCGCTTGAGCTTCCAAGTCGGTGTGATATTCACGGCTTTTTTCATTTTTCTGTCTTCTTATATTCAAAACCTAGTTGTAAGCATAAATACATTTAAACTGAAGTCAGTATTGTAAACATTTTCACTAAGACCTCATGGTATATATTTCAGAGCATTCGGGCTCTTCGTAGCAATCATTCATGCTGTCACAAATCCCCTCTTATTGTGTAACATACGGTAAATCCTCTATTAAGCCCCCCTCTAATAAACCAGCCCCCCTCTTAAAAGCCACCCCCCTCTTATAAGCCCCCCTCTTTAGAGCAAGAAATCTATCAAGCCCCCCTCTTTAGAGCAAGAAATCTATCAAGCCCCCCTCTATTAAGCCCCCCTCTATTATGCCCCCCTCTAATAAGACCCCCCCTCTTAAAAGCCACCCCCCTCTTATAAGCCCCCCCCTCTTTAGAGCAAGAAATCTATCAAGCCCCCCTCTATTAAGCCCCTCTATTAAGCCCCTCCTCTAATAAGCCACCCCCCCTCTTAAAAGCCACCCCCCTCTTATAAGCCCCCCCCTCTTTAGAGCAAGAAATCTATCAAGCCCCCCTCTATTAAGCCCCCTCCACCCCCCTCAAAAAACAACAATTCAAAATAACACTCCATGTTAACAATTACGGTAAATTTATTCAAGTACTGTAATTTTAGTTTGTCATTTAAAATTTATTATGGTGATTGATTGATCGATGTTTCTCATGTTGGCATCAATAAAATACAATATAAGCACATTACAGAGCGATGCTAAAAATGCAACATGGCTAAAAAAGGTCCATTGAGAGAGTTAAATCATCGAGTTCTTTATTGTGAGCTGCTTGACTTCCCGCTACATATGCTTTAGTTTTTCCCCTTTTCGCTCTGGTTATCTGCGGAGAATCGCTAAGGTCTTCTTGTTATTCGCAACTGCAGTGTACCGCCAGAGAACAATTCTTGAATAAATACGGTACAACATATCCTATTGTATCCTTGTATTGAACATCGGGCTAAATTAATAGGCCCCTCATCTAATACGCCACCCCCTCCCCCTCAAAGTATCTGAAATGAATTAGCTCCCGGGGGACTTATTAGAGGATTTACGGTAACCCAAAATTCTGGTGGTGTGACAAGTCACCTGACTTTGAGGACCTTTTTTCTAACAAATATGACGTTGAGAGGAGAGATATCACTTCTTGAGAAAACATTTTACGAGCAGGCATACGTGTGTACCTGTGATGTGACGTCCGAAGTCTGTTTCTTTTGAGCAATTATCTCCTTGGTAGTAGGGTTATAACTGGGCTGACCAACCACACCCGACCGCAACCAGGAAGCGACGTCCTTTTCGCTCTGAAAACAAAAACATGATCCCCGATGAGACAAACCCATCAGTAGCAAAGACCATCGTTATCTCGAAATCATTCTAACAGATTTACAAAAGATTAGTTCGATGATCAAACTGACTACAGGTCCCTATGCTATTCATTCTAGAAAGGTTTCATCTTACTACGCATGTCCCCCCCCCCTCACTTTTGGGCTTCTGTTACCAAAGATTAACCAATGACAGGACTGAATTTTGCCCTACACCATTTATTTACTCCTACATTTCTGTTCTTACCAAATAAGAAATACGGAAAAAGAAAATAAAGTGAAGAATAGAAATGTATCTGTCGTACGAATGATTTTTGATAAACCACGTATAGCTTTATAAAACTAAAAACTTCCCTTAATAAAACTTACAGTTAACAAGTCTTCATGTTCAGCCTTGCGCCTGTTTCTACTCTCCTCGGACATTTGCTCTTTTAATTAAAGAAAGTAAAGTGATTTTTTGTCGCTGCATTCATTTTAATAGGCTTTTTGGACACAGCTCCTAACTTATCAGTCATTACAAAATGATACTTTATTTCGTGTGATAGAAAAGTGATAGAAAGTGGTAAAACTTAAGTAATGGCGACGAACAGTTCGAGCAAAGAAGAGTATCACAGAGCCAGTGAGAAATCAAAGTGAAAGCGAATCAACTGAACGAGGCTCGGGAAAAACTCCAATAGCCAGGTAACAATTTGTTTCCTTTTGAATCTGATTATTGGGGAAGGTAAAAAAAGTTTGACGACCCACAAGAAACCAAAGAACAAATCCGAATAACTAGTAATAATAAGTTTCGGTACTCGAATAAAAATTTCTCTAATTAGTTGCCATAATTCCTGAATAACAGACACTCGGTGCAAACTTACGTAAAGTAGTAAGAAGTTTCTGCTTGGCTTGCGGGTCTTTCTTGCCAGTTGGAGAGATCGACTGAGTTGGGAAAACACGGATGTAACATCGGCGTTATTACACCCAACGCATTTGATATAACAAGACGTTGTAGATTAAACAATTAAAAAAAAAAAAAAGAAACAAGGTCAATCTCCAAGGCCAAAAAGGGACTGAAAATGGCTTATAATAGACATTTTTGGACGTGAAAAACAAGAGAAAACAATGGAACAGAGAGGAAGGTTTCTGGTGCAGGTCTTACGATATGTCAATTTCACTCAAGTTATTTACAGATACTCTTTCGAACAAAAGTATGTTTTCTGAGAAGTCCACATTGAAGTTGACATCTATGTGATCCTTTTCCACCCAGAACCAAAAATAGTAAAAATATTGACATACCCCGGCCAACGCCCAGATAGTCCCTCTCTGTTTCCTTTATTTTCATAAGTGTAACTCAATCCACAAATTCCATCAGAGAAAGAAGAAAATTAACAAACAAATAATAATAACAATTATAATATTAATAATAATAAAAACATGCTCTAAATTGCTGTCGTTGCACACCGTCACGTCGAACATACATACATTTGAGTCATGAGTCACTCGGCCTGCGGTTCGAGTTTGAATTTGTCCATCCGAGTCCTTAATTGGAGCTCCCGCACCAGATCTCCCCCAAGGGTCATAAACGTTCCGTTGGTTCAGGGGGCTGAAATCACGTTGCATTGTTTCTGCAATACGATAAAAGATAAATCAATGGACATCATATGACTGTCAGTATCTGCAGCTAATCTATAAATAAAATAAACAAAAATAAATCAACCTCGTTTCCAGGATCTCCCTTATTCCTCGCCTTTTCTCGCTTTCTTGCTCCGCAAGGGGAGCAGGGAGAAAAGGAACACTTGAAAAACGACGAGTTTGGTATTTCACAATTCTATTTTTATCATTTTTACTATCCAATCAAGAATATGAATAAAACATTTGATCTAACAAGGCTTAACTAATGAAATGAAGTAAGGAATACTTACCACCATTAGAAGTCTTAGTCAGTGTTTGCGCTTTCCTTGTTTTCATTTTTCCTCCCTTGTCGACATTAGGGGCCCCACCTCCCGGTCGATGAGCTTCAATACCAATAGCAAGCTGTTTAGATTAAAACACAGATTAACTTAAGCTTGGCTAAATCCACAAAATACATGCATGTTTAAATGAAAAAAACAATCATCTTATGGTTGCCCATGATTCACTGTACTTTGGTTTGAATTTAAGTATCACTTGTAAAACCAGAACAATAATGCGACTTTCTCTTTCTTTGAGCGAATCACCTTTCGACGAATCGACTTCCGCGCGAAAGGACTAGGAAGCTCTTTCACTTGAAAGAAGATGTATTAAAAATTCGACAAGCGTTTGGCTGCTGTAGATGTTCTTCATGTGATATGATGAAACTGAAAACAACCTCTGACATAAAAAAAAAAAAGAAAAAAAAAAATAGGATTCCAGCGTAAGACGACGTCACTGGAGGATATGATCACGCCCCGGTATGTACGAAGAGGACTTTAACTAAGGAAGCTGACTGTCTACCGTCTTCACTTGATTCCAAGGTTGAGGAGAGAAAATATGTTTCCGACGTCCTTAAGGCAAATGGCTGTACCAAAACATTTCTCCGCAACTGCCAGAAACCAGTTACAACTAGTAATACTCTTGATGAGAAGGAACCAGCAACTGGTTTTGTTGTTATTCCTTACATCCAGGGTGTTACGGAGCCCATCAAGAGAATTTTGAGTAGCCAAAACGTTAAAGTTGCTCAACATCTTTTCCGACTTTGGGGCGCATTTTTGCCAAACCTAAGGATCATGCTACCACAAACAACGAACCGACGTTATTTATTCTATTCCGTGCAATGACTGCAATCACGAGTATATCGGACAGACGAAACGTTAGTTTGGTACACGTTTGAAAGGGCATCAGAAAGCAGTCTTCTTTGGAAAAAAAAGGAAAATTCAGCTTTGTCAGAGCACACATACCTAACTAACCACACAATTGGGTGGGATAATTCTAAAATTATCACCACTAATCGCCGCTACCACTAGCGCCTTTGTTTGAAAGCTTAGCATATCAACTCCGCCCACGCCCCTTTAAATCGTGCTGTTGGGGGCTGACTATCTGACGTCTATTTACACCTCGTCAGAAAAAAGGGCAGCTGATTATTAAGCATACAAAAGGGCCTCTTGTTGCAACGATCAGATCACCCCTGATGAAGGCACTAGACAGGAGTGTCGAAACGTTGGGTCGATGAATTGTAATTTCCCCGGTTACATTCATTAAATCTTCAAACCAGAGTAGCCTCAAACCATGTAGGAGGTTCACTGCTATCAATACCCACCAAGTCATTCTCATCCTTCTCGCGCACAGGTTTAATCATTCGTCCTTGTCTATCGAATGCCGGAGGGTTTCCATGACCCCTTCCCCAAGGATCATACTATAATCGAAATAAATGGGATAAAAAATCAATATTTAATATTAATAATATTAATATTTATATTAATTTATATTTATTAATAATATTAATATTTATTATTTAATATTATCACCCCTGAGAAAATGGGGAGGACCAGTGCACCAGTAGCGGTGGGGGTTGCTAATGCCTGGAGCGTCGGGAGGTTTGCTGCCTGGATTGCTCACATCACAATATTTGGGGCCTGGGCCCTTTAACCAAAAATAAAGTGACTGGCCCTTAGAGAGAAGTAAAATGTGGGCCCTAGCCGTGAAGACTTCAAAAGACAATTAATATCGTAGATTGTGATAAAGGTGAACTGTGAAGCAACGTCTTTCATCGTCTTTACATCGTGAGCTTAGCTTACTGATCCCTGCTAACACATGTGCAGTAAAGGGCAAAACAATTCCAACTACATGTCACCTGAACAGAAACTGCTTTTTTTCTCACCTGAGGATTTTCATCATCTGAAAATTAAACCATAAAAATATACATTTATTTCTCTCCTTCCAAATAACCATGAGTCTTTGTTTGACATTGAGATCATAAAAAAAAAACCAAAGAAGTCACAATACAATAGCCAATCACAAACAAGCCCATGAGAACTCAGAGGGAAAAAAAACCTAATTTTTGGTTTAACGTTTTGAATCTGATTGGTTGAGGAATTTTTGCAAATTTTCTGAACCAGTCACAAAGCAAAGTAAAGCAAATCCATGGCAATTCATGCTCTAGAGGGACTGACTGTTTACAAACATAAGCATTAAGAAAACACACAAACCTTTCTCATTTAAGTCAAGGGTTAATGGATTCCTACGTTGCCCTTTTCGAAGTTCTTCAATATCCTTTGACAGTGTGGTGGGATATGAAGCCTTAACAGTTCCTAACAGGAAATACAACAAATTTTATCTATCATAGAGGAAACAAAAAAATAACACCACAATTTGTATCACCATTTCTTTCACTTTGGTGTAATTTCTTTACACATGCAGTTGACCAAAACATCTATAATAGAAATCTAATTCTGTTGTTGTAATTTGTAACATGTACATTGCAACCATAACAATTGATTGGCAGAAAAACAAAATGGAAGGGAAAGGAGGTTCTATGTTGCTCTTTCCAGTCCCTCTCATTCATCCCACTTTCTGTCTCTTTTTATATAGCTCCATGTTGCTTTAGTTATAACCTTGGACTGAAGAGGACTGAAAAATCAACGATGTGCATGATTTGTCATGTTTACCTGAGCCTGTTTTGCGTGGAGCACCAGCTCCTTCTCTTCCAAATGGATCTGTCTTCAACTACAAACAAAATCAGAAGTTAATTGTGTTAAAATATTTTTGCATTTCTGTTATTGGTCATTCTAAAGAAACTCAGTCCCAAAAGGGTCAACCAATGAATGCTGTTTCTTTTTTAATCAAGTTCTTTCTGACTACATGGCAAACTTTACTTAGTGTACCTAAGGGTGGATTTCAAGTTACATTAAAACATTAACTTGAAGAATTTTATGCATTTATCAGATTGTTTATAGTAATTACATATATAGTTAAGTTCACTGAATAGTTAAGTGATATGCTGGAAAATATATGGATTTATAGAGAGAAGTTTCATGTTAACCGCTAGTGAGAGTTCAAGAGTTAACATACATGCTGAAGTTCGTCCTCTTTGCTTTTTTCCCGTTGAAGAATCTTCATATTTCTTGAACCTTCAATCATTGAGTCTGAGAAAAAAAACAATAAGATGTTATAAAGTAAAGATCACTGCACAGGACACTTTTAGACTATGAAAATAAATCTTAAAAGTTGTTAATCAATACAAATAAAAAGATGGTTAAACAAACAAAGAAAGTCAACACACCAAGATCTTGCTTGTAATGCTGGTCTCTTCCTCTATATCTCTGAAACATAACATGACAGGTGCTTTTGACATATGTACATTATTACCCATGTAAATAAAGTTTTGGTCTGCTTTCTTCTTCAACATTTATTAGTTATCAGTAATTATTACTATATAATATCCATCATAAACTGCTTAAAGCAGTCTAATACTAAAAATATTGATAAAAAAATAACAATATAGACTGTGCATTCACCACTTGAAATTGATAACATACAAATGAAATGTCATTCTCACCAGGTTTGGATCAACATTAGTTTTGGATGCATGCCTTGGAAATCTCAGTTCAGGATCAGCACGGAATCCTGCTGCAACACGCCCTGATTCTGTTCTGTTTGGATCCCCTCCCCCACCCTGCCGGCCTCCAAATGGCTGATAAGGCTGAAAAACAAAAAAATTTGCTGTCACTTATGAAACAATTAACTTGAATTTGGCCTTTTCCTTTCCCTCTTTTTGTTCTTCTATGACAAAGTTACTGCAATTAGGTATATAAGCCTGGCTAACCTTGAGGGTTAACTTAGGCATAAAAAATTACATACACCTAACAAAAGAGTTTAAATTTCAATTTTATTAAAAAACGTGCATTTGATTTTCTTCTGTTTCAGAACTGATAAAAAAGAACTATCACTGCCATCTCTACATGAAAACACATTTTACTCTTAAGCCTTTGGGGATAACTAGAGACTTAAATTAACTTACAATAGTAGATTTTAAATTTTTCTGTATGTTTTCAACAGCCCTAATGTAAATATATATCTCAAGTAAACAAAGTAAATCACATGTTCTTCATTACTCATATTTGCAAAAAGTAATTTGTAATTTAGTCTTAAGATTAATCCAGGAATGCATCTTTGGTTTCTTTTGCTACTTGTTATTCCTCAAATGAATTTATACCACTTTTATTTTCAACCAATCAGATAAAAAACTAAAACCAATCTCAACTGGACCACTGGCATTTCCCCATCCTGTGCCTTAGACATTTTTCTTGTTTTTGATCTGAGTTCCCATTAGCTCCTCGAGATATTTTGGCTTTAAAAATGAGTGTACTTTGGTTGTAATATTACAACACTGAAGCAAAAAGTTCTCTAACACCTGCATGTTTCAAAAGAAACATATTGAGTAACTATGTAAAGATGAAATAAACAATTTTAAAAAATCGAGTTTCCAGATGGGATTTGAACCCACGACCCTCCGTGATCAAGTCGAATGCTCTAACCACTGAGCTACAGGAGACTCTATGGTGAGCAAGGGTCAATTAGTGGGTATTGACTGGAACCGCATCACGCGGCTACACAGCCAAACATCAGCTAGCGCATAGAAGCTCACTAACAGCATCACGCTGTCACATTAAAGCATCACATGCATTAAAGCATCACATGCAGCCAACCAGCCTCCAAAGTGAGCATGTAAAGATGAAATAAACAATTTTTAAAAATCGAGTTTCCAGATGGGATTTGAACCCACGACCCTCCGTGATCTAGTCGGATGCTCTAACCACTGAGCTACAGGAGACTCTATGGTGAGCAAGGGTCAATTAGTGGGTATTGACTGGAACCGCATCACGCGGCTACACAGCCAAACATCAGCTAGCGCATAGAAGCTCACTAACAGCATCACGCTGTCACATTAAAGCATCACATGCATTAAAGCATCACATGCTTTAATGTGACAGCGTGATGCTGTTAGTGAGCTTCTATGTGCTAGCTGATGTTTGGCTGTGTAGCCGCGTGATGCGGTTCCAGTCAATACCCACTAATTGACCCTTGCTCACCATAGAGTCTCCTGTAGCTCAGTGGTTAGAGCATCCGACTATATCACGTATTGAGTAACTAATTGCTAAAAACTTGAGAAGTAAAGAATTACCTCCTGAACAAGTTTTTTGATGTTTTTTGTTCTTTTTGTCTCAGGCTTTTCATCAGTGCCAGACTGCAAAAATATTAAACTGATTTAAAATACACAATCCATACCATATAATCAACAATAATAATTATAATCATGATAAAAAACAGTAATTATTATAAATTATAATATTATTATAATAATTAATACCAGGCATATAATTAAGAATTTCTATGAAACAGTTACTGAGTGGCTCTCAGCTAGTAAAGACCAAATTATAATTAACTACCCACCATATTGATTACAGTATATATAGAATGAAATGTGAAATGATCAATAAGTAAATGAATAAATTGATGAACAAGAATCTGTGTTTTTTACATTTAACATGTTAAATAAACATGAAGTTAACCTTTCCTTGGGTACAAAGCTACACATTAAGTTCACCAAACATAATATGCAAAAGAATGCAATGAAACACAACATTAAAATATAGAGGGCAAACTTGAGTTGGAAATGACTAACAAGACAAAGATAAGATGCTTAGGATGACGGCCTTGATAATAAATCACCATATTCAGGGGGGTGTACCATGATTTAATTTGAATGTAAATAGAAGTGCTATTTGTTAATTATTACATGGAAAAACTGATTCTCTCCTTTCTAAAACAATTTATTTACCCCATGAAGTGATCTGGTGGCTATTACCTCAGGCAACTGAAAGAAACCAACAACATGGAAGTTTTGTCAAAATATGACATTCTGATAATAAAGTTGTTGCCAACATGCAACACTTGGCCAGCATGTTGGGACAAACTTAAAATTGAGAGCATCTTTTAGATGTCAGCCAGATCCCCAAATTTTTACCACTGACATCTATTGACTGAAATATAATTTCTCGAAAAAGATCATAGGCCAATGCAAAAGTGCTTTTTGTGATCATGCAGTAACCTCTGTTTAGAGTAAGTGATAGAAAAATAATAAATGAAATCACTGGATAATGTACTGAAAAAGGATTGAAGCATGTAGGTGCATTTATATTGGACAAATAGGTCAATAAAAACATGACAACACCTATAATTCAACAGTCATAACTGAAACTTTTACAGTCCCATAATATTTCCAACAAAAAATTACTTACTAATGATGTTCTAAAGAATCACAAAATAATAAAATACATAATACATGAACTTACAATGGGTGCACCTCCCCCTGGTCGTCCCCATGGGTCATAGTTTCTTAGATCTTGTAAATCCTGCAAGTTGTACAGAGAAGTAAATAAACAATGAAAACAGTAATGAGCAATATAGTATCATGATAGTTACATCATTAAAAACAAATTAAATGATAAACTTATTAAAATAACTATACCTTTCTCTTCTCTTCCAGTTCTGCTTGTCGTCTTCTTGTCTTCTCCTCAAAATGTCTTGCTAAAAATTCGTCTATTTGAAAACAATAATTAACTCAATGAAGAGTGATTCAACTCACACCTCTTCTTATTAATCATCAGTAAATTTTTCTTCAGCAACAGTACTGTCTACAGATTAAGAATAAAGTTATTACCTTGAGTTGTCGCTAAGTTTTTGTTCTTGAAAGTTTCTTTTTCACTGAAAAGCAGATAAAGTAAAATTTAGCAGAGAAAATAATTTAATTAAAAAAATATTTGAAAAAGAGATAGCACTTACGTTCTCTCTTCCAACCACAAAATGTTATTTGGTCGAGGTCCAGGAGATGGTTTTCCAACCTTTGTTGCTGCTTCTGTTCCATAAAGGAACCCAGATGGGTTATTACCATCTCTTAACTTTGCCTGGCGAAGGACTTCATCTGTACCATAAATCAACTTATTACTTGCTGATCCACCTGGCACCTGAGAAATTACAAAATAAACAAAAATATTTTTTATGGGTGAACATATAAATAACAATAGTATGTTTTTATGTCTCTTTCTGGTGTGATTATAATCAAAAATTCTTGTCTGATATCAAGCATTATCAAATGAATGTAACATTTCAAATCATCTCTGAATGTACAAATCTACAATAAGCTACACTGTTTGAGAAAAAAAAGAATATAAACTGCTGGTATACCTTTCCTCTGATGAAATGTTGTCTCTTGGTATATCTGTCACTGGACATCTTTGTATCAAAAGAGGAGGTAAGTCCTAACTCATAGCCTTGGTTGTGGGCATTTCGTAGATGATAACTCTTGCTTGACGGTCTGTATGTATCCTGCATTGCTGTAGGATTTGCCTTTTGGGGCTCTAGAGGGAAAACTGAACACAAGGCAAACAATACATCATTAAAATGAAAAACAAAAAATTGTCAACACTAAAATTAAGTGATTAAATTTAATTTAAGTTAGCTACTGGGTTTTATAATGTGTTTATTTCCAAAAGTTTTGTCCCATTTATGTCCTGATATTATTTTTCAATTGTAGGCCTGTACACATTACGGGGTTTGATTTAAAACTATGTAGATTATGTACTAATAAACTAAATTAACCTGAATTGAGTACTAAAAGTGCATGTGCATTTACTTATTCAAAGTGCAGGTCACTGTGCCTTTTGTCGTCAGTGCAGGTGCAAGAGAAAAATACTTTCTTTCTTACCAGAAGAGCTACTTTTTTCTCTTTGGTCTGACCCGTACACAAGCCCTGATCCCGACGTACCACCAACAATCTTTCCATTATGAAACCACTGAGTTTTATGGTGATGGTAACCCGACTCAAATGGGGCTGGCCTAACTTGATCCCTATCAATCAGTCATGTATAGATTGATTTATTTCAAGTGTAAAATGCTTATCATCACAGCTTATTGAATAATATAATTTTGCTCAAGTTGATTCTATCTATTGGAACTGGCCAATGCATTGTACAACTCACACAAGTTATCAAAATCCCAGTTTTTATCCATCAAAATGTCTTGGAATTCTATCCAAATACATTCCAAGGTCTTCTATGTTTATACTGTAGCTATTGTTGTTCTAAAAATTATTTTTAATTACTTCCACTTTATAATTGTTTTACTATCAGTCCTACAAATGTTGTTTGAAGGAAAACATTGCCACTCACACGTTACCGGAGAGAAATTGGCAACGGGGAGTAATCACTGATATTGCCACACTGATTACATAATTGGAAGGGTTTTAATTTCCAGCGGTAGTAAGAGACAGGTTAGAGGATCGAGTCACTCGTGATTGACTGTTACTTCTATATCAGAGAGATCAGGCTACAGCGTAAATGTTTTTATGTTTGTTATAGTGAGAGGAAAACTGCTTCACTTTGATTGTTATCGAGGATCCAAGCAGACTCATAAAAAGTTGTACTCTTGTGTGAAAGTACTAAGTAAATAAGTTTACTGAGCTGCCATTGGTCTGAGCTGCAACCAAATGCAAAGGTTGCCCCTTTTTTTTTTTTTCAAGTAGGTTAACTATGATTGTCAATTGAAATAAAATGTGACACAAGCCTTACACGGATAATCTGTGTTGTAAAACTAGTCATAGAATAAAGCGATTCACGTCAGTGGAATGGAATGGCGAACATGTATGTAATGTTCTCGTGCGATTGCCGATTACCGCTATGAAAACAGATTATACGATAGAATTTTTCTTTCGAATGTCAAGGCAACTCATGTAAAGCGCTCTTCCAGGCAACAAATTCCCAACTTGTCCCTCAACTAAATTCCGATAGAACTTGTGGATAGTAAAGAATTTTCATGAATTTAGTATTTGAGTGTTGTTTGTAGGCATGCAGATTTATAACAACAGATTATCCTTCTTGTTCCGTAAATATTTGAGTTTAAGCCGACTAGCAACAATGCTCATATTTGGAAAAGTTGATCAAAGATTCGAATTATCTGTGAAAACGACAAACGAGTCTGAATGAAGAGGTCGTTTTCGATTCAAAGATCAAACGACGACAGAAGCTCGTATGATGCAAGTGAACTGATGTCAATGATCGATCCTTCATTCTTTACATTAGAGTACATTAAAGATTTATGAGAGACCGTATGTTTTCTCCAACGGTTAAGTTTCCTAGAGCTCAAGCCTGATTTCATATTGGTGGCAGTTAAAAGGAAACTGTTTGCGCAGGCTAGTCCAAAACGAATGATAACTACACCAAGGCCGACATTAGCCGCAATGCTGGCGTTAAACCGTACGTGACAAGAAGCTAATTTCGCGCGACATTGAATTCATGATGCAATGCCCTTTTCAACTTCTTCGATAGATCAAGTCGATTCACAGAGCTTAAATATCCTCTTAATAAACCATACTTTCAACAAGGACACTTACATTTGCTGCCGTTTAGTTAAAATTTGAAGCAAATTCCTCGTGCTTTACATCTAAAATAAACATTTTCTATGAAATCCAACAAAAGTTGTTGTTATGGCAACATATTGAAAAGGCCTAATGACAAATTGAAAACAAGTGCGGCAACTAATTGACTTTTGACTTCAAGTTCTGACACAAGTCTCACGACAATGAAGAAAACTGACCACTGCAAAGCCATTAGTGGGAACCCAAAAACAACCTGAACTTGCACAAACAGGTATTTTTCGGGTTTTGAACCTCAGCGAGATTAGTCAAAAATGGGGTGGTTTTAAAAAAATTAAACAAAGAGCCACTTCGGTTAGGTACTCAAACATTTGTTCGTTGGTACTATGATACCTTACGAGAATTGTACGCTTCCTGAAAAATACCTTCTTTCGTCGAAGGTTCTCAGTTAAAAAAAAAAAAATTAAAACGAGCATGAACCAGTTTAACACAAGTGGTAAAAAGATAGAAAGCGTAATTAGCTTTCCGTGGCTTGCTTAAGCTTCTCAAGAGATCCTTACAAATGTACTTGTGCAAGAAGAACTTCTGTCCAAATTCTTATGTCAGGAGTTGAAAAAAATTTTTTAACCAAATTCAGTGACATGTACGCGGATTCTCGTTCCACTGATAGTCATGCCTATAACCCGATAATTTCCTAAACTTGGCGAACAAAAACTGCGCCATTTTACATGCTGTGATAAGAAGTGTAGCTTCAGTAACACGATGAATAACATATTTTTTTTTTATGAAAGCGATCCTCGTTGTAATGAACACTGCTTAAACAGTAGTGAAAATAAGGCCTGAAAAAATTCAGGCCCCTTACGGAATGACCTCTGCGATACCGGTGAAGTGCTCTACTATCTGAGCTAACGAGCCAACTGGAAGCTGTACAGGCCTGAATTTTTTTCAGCCCTTACTTCGCTACTGCATAAGTAGTGTTCACTACTGTAAGGATCGTTTTCTAGTACGTTTCTTAAAAACGCAGGGCACATATGTGATTTCAGTTTTTTTATATATTCTCAGTCATCAATCACATTTTGGCAATGCAAATCAAACGTGAACATACAAATGCCAGCATGGTTAGTAGAGGGGAATGCCAGGTCGGATTTTCAAGTTTCTCGTATGCCTTATGAAAAGTGTTCGTCACACGCCTTTTTCCGCTATACCTGAATTTGTTTAACTCCTTCCCTTTTGTTTTGTTTTGCAAATAGTCTCTCTTTCGGGAAGAGTAATTTCGGAAAATGGCACCAAAAAGGTTATGTTTAATGTGCATTTCGGCTCCATAAGGTGGAGTTAACAAGCGGCCCCTGAAATTTTTTCTTTTGCAAAAAGATCGAGACCAATTGGAATTCCTAGGAATTCCAAAATACATTTGACAAGGGTTGGTACATGTCGAGTCGGAAAATGGTTTGATAACACTTGTCTTATGATTAAATTACCGTGCACTGAGTTTACGTGAAACAGAGACTTGCTGTCCAGTGGAGTCCTCCATTGATCTGTCAATCTCGAAGGTTTTACTGTGTGATTTGACACAGGACAAAAAACAGACGAACGAAGAGTTTCTCCCTGAGACAGAATAACGAAAAGTAAACAACAACGGTTCAAACAAAATAAGAATGGATTCCATCACTTTTGGGATGAAGGAGGATGGAGAGCGTGCACTACTGAGATTTACAGTATTAATAACAGATGCTGGTTCCGAATGATCATTGCTGGAACAGGGGTAAATAAAAGGTTCGCACAAGTATATGTACGCTCCTCTATTTAAGAGATAAATCAAGTTCCGTGATACATCAATTCCCGAAAGAGGGTGTCCTGTTATGTTGCATTCAAAGGATCCCAAGGGCTTTTCATCCATCGATTTTATTTCATTCGAAATTGACTTTTTCTTAATTATACATATTAATAACTCCAATGTGATCGATTATTCCTTCTCTTGAGAAAAAATTCAGGTATGACATAGCAATCGTAACCAAATGGCATCGAAAAAGACTTCTACTCTTCTAATTAAATTCAGAATTGTTGAGAAATGTACATACCGAACATAGCTGTTTTGGAACAGTAGGACCCCAGATGTTGTTAATGAAGATATAGTCGGGTGGAGCACTGAATGACCTCATTCAAAAACTATCCACAGAATGGCGTCCTCCGTTTCGCAGCAACTTTCCTCTCAAGTTATTGAACCTACCCGGAAAATTACTTATTTGATATTTCTACCTATAAAATATGAAATTTGTTAAATGAATACTAATTATGTAACGTCATGAATTTCTAACGCTACTTATGAATGAAAAAAGTATCACTTCATTATCACAATTATGACGTCTGTAAAGAGACAACTGTCTCCATTCGTCTCAGTAGGTTTTATCCTAGGTTTGAAGTGGACAGTTCCAAGACTTGAGTGAGATTAAGAAAAGTAAAAAAAAAAAGAACAGGAAAAATTTTGCCGTGAATCATTTCAGTTAAGGTTACCGTGCACCTTCAGCGGTGTCTCGCTTGCAAACGATGTAGCGCGTCCGGTTTAAACTGTAGATATCTAAACCCCTATATCAAATTAAAGCTTATAGGACTGGCTATCAGCTGACTATACCAAAAATCTTGAAAAAATGAATTGTCGAATTTTTCACGACTTCTAAATGCGAGCGCCCGAATCACCTTTTAAGAGCTACAAGTCAAAGGGAATTTGTTCGATTGCTCTCAAATTTTGACAGTATAGCTAGTTTTATCTATAAACAACAAAAACGTGTCTCCGAATTTTTTAATTCTAAATACTTTATTTTCAAGAGCGATTTTCGTACGATCACTCCACGTTTTTTTAATCCTATTTCAAAAATGTTCTGTAACTTTTTAATGAAATTGAATAAGGCAAATCGCAGACACGGTTTTTTTTTTTAGCGCTTTGGCCCCGGAAACGAGGAACATTAAATAAGCGAAAAACAAAATTCGCTTTGACACAAAAGGTGATTCGGGCACTCGCATTTAGAAGTCGTGAAAAATTCGACAATTCATTTTTTTTCAAAATTTTTGGTGTAGTCTGATAGCCAGTCCTATAAGCTTTAATTTGATTTAGGGGTTTAGATATCTACAGTCAGACGCGCTACATCGCTTGCACGCGAGACACCCCTGAAGGTACACGGTAACCGTGTATTACCATTATCGTCATTATTTTTGAGCAAGCTTTCCACGCCCGGCCTCATATCTAAATATGAAATAATAAGATTGGGCGTTCCTAACTAATGTACTAGCTTACTTCAAACATTAAAGTATCTCCCGCATTGAGTTAAGTTAGTGTAATTTTCAACCGCGCGCCAAAAGTTATCAGGGATGACCAACAGACCTCTCACTGAAAAAATCGCTCTTGAAAATAAAGTATTTAGAAATAAAAAAATTTCTTTTGTTTCTGCAAGCATTCACTGAAGTACCAGATAAATCAGAGCAAGTGTTTAAGATGGAATCAAAATGGTAACGAGCCGTTGAGCCATCAATTAACAGCAAGGTTTCTTCATTGGACAATGGTTCTTAACGTAAAATGAAACATGTCGAATCTAGTGAACCTCCCTTCAATTAATATCAGGTAAAACACTAACATTTTCACATTTTTTTGGAACAGTTCTTTTTCTTTTTTATGACATTACGAATTCCAACAATGGTGGCTTGGACTCTATAACATTAATTGAAATAACAATAAATTGAATATACTGCAGTCCATCAAAGTATTATATTCTTTTCATACTAACACAACAGAGAAAAATTTAAGAAAAACTATGATATTTAGTACACTGCATAAAAAGAGCTGAACAAGGACACCTAAATACCACTATCCCCAGCCTAACTATACACAATATTGTCAATTCATCTCTTTCATGACATTCAGCAAAGAAAAGTTCAAAACTGCAATTAGAGAAACACAATTCCCAAACAATTCCCACCTAAATAATTTGTAAATTCCTCTAAAACACAGACTTCTTTATCAAACTAGATCTTGCATTACCAAAACTGTTTAGCCTGATTCACAAGCAGGAATATAGATGCACTATAGTTCCTTTACTGACAAGACAACTATTTGGGAGCTGCTTAATCATATCAGTTTTTTAGTGAGTTTGAATGGTTCCTCTATCATCTAGAATTAAAAGTATTAGTCTCTTGTTGACACAAATAAGTCTTGTGCAGATCATGCTTACATAGTTTTGAAAACTAGTCCACAAGGTCTCATCAAAGGTGATCATTTATATGATTAAGTAGCTTCATGAGGTATTTTTATGACTACTTTCAGAATACTAGATAAAAATAAAGTGTTTGTGGAGCCTAAAGAGTCACTGACAGTGTTGAGAAACTGGTAATAGTATAGCCAATAATCAATTTCATGCATTGATACCATTAATTAAAGCCACATATATTCAACTGGAAAATAGTCTTTTTCATAACATTGCTAACTCTTATTGTCTAATATTGTTAAGTCTACATATCATTCCATATAAACCAAAGTCTGTACACTGTACATAGATAGTATAATGGCATATCGATCATCGTCCTTATGGCTATGTTTTAACATGTTCTTTCATTATCATTTCTCCTTTGGCAAGCTTAGGAGTGTCTATATCACAAAATATTCCTGAAAAATTCCATTAACTAATGACTATAGATAACTAATGACTATAGATAACTAATAGACTGTTTCTTTACAGTTTCATTAATCATCATTATTATGGTTAAAATCAAGATCAGGGAAAAAGATGTTCCTTAATTCTTCCTTTTTCTTAACCAGTTTAGGTCTGTTCACACAGTATTGACATAATCCAAGTCCCTTTTTAAGTTCAACCCTCACTGACTTGACCTAACCCAGCCTTATTGATTAGTTAATGGATACATAGCTGGTGCTAATAATCAAAGCGATGTTCTCTTCCATATTCTGCACCAGGTTTTACAGCATCCACATAGTCCAAGTCCAGGTCATAAAACTCACTTAACAAGCTGTCACAATCATCATGTGCTCCCATCTGTGTTATAGACTCCAATGGAATAATCTCATAATCCTCTAATACAAAGTCAATTTCATCCCTTGGTGTTCCATGCCAGCTGCGACTCAGTGGATGTTCTTCAGTTTGCTCATCTGGTTCTATAAATGATGCACTCCCTGCACTATCTAGCCCATCCTCACTGCTACCCGGAATTGTGGGAAGGGTCAACTGGCCAGTGGGATACGCACAGCAGCTGATACTGCGACATTTCCTCATGTCTTTGCGGGCTGTCAAAAGAGACATGTATTGATTGTTATTTTCAGCTACCTAGTAGTATCTATCTAAATCTTGAAATTACCACACATGTATATCTTATTAAGCATTTTGTTGTGTGGTATTGCTGAGTATTTTTATGAGTTGTGCTGTAATTTGATGAGCCCATAGGGCAAGTCAAAATACAAATAACAAGTAAAAATACTCAGCGATATGACACACCAAAACATCTAAAAAGTTATTAATTATCCAACCTGCCAAATTGTTAGTTCAACACAGGCAAATTTTGCGGTTATTTATTACTGGAGAGTGGGTGACAGAAGTATCTGAAGTGGAACAGTATTGGCAGTTGTCATGTTGCTGTTTCTATTTCTTCAATAAATGATGAAATTTCATTGTTGTCTAACTACTTTTCTTTGTTCCATTTATTCAATAAACTTGGATCGATATTCACCAGCAATTCTGACTCTTCATCATCAAAAGAATGATTTAAATTGTCCGCTATTGTTTTTTATAACTTCAATCCAATTTGTCGCTTGCGTGATGCAAGAAAACCTGTCTAACCAGTTCTCTGGAGTACAAATACTGTGTGACATTTGTACTCATCTTGGGCATTATTTGTACTCTGTGGAGTGTAGTTGGATAATAAATGACAGAATAGAAATATATTAACTGTTCTCTAAATCAAAAAACAACCAAATGAAAATTAATGTCAGTTTTCAAAATGACATAAAATTCCTGTGGCATGTATATTCTGAAAATTATTCCATAGCAATGAACCTTTGAAGCAAAAGTTACTGAGGTAAACAGCAGTTAAATGGTTCAATCAAAGGATCATTCCTAGAAGATGTCCTAGGTGGCTTTTAATTTGTTTTATGTTTTTTGCTTTTGCTCCCCAAATAATTTCTAGTTTTGTGTTATATTGACTGTCCACTGACATGAATGAAAAACAAGACACAAACAAATATGCAATATAATGCATAATATACAAATAATGATATTATTATTATTATTATCATCATTAACATAATATCATTATCAGTATTACTATTACTGTTATCACGTCTTGATTGGTGTGAGATTAACTTACATGACAAATATCAGGCACAAACCAAATAAAAAATTATTGTCAAGAGTTTTCAACTGGTAACAAAATTACACTCACAAAATAAATGAGATGTCACCACTAGCATTTTTGTAGCTCACCTGGAACATCAATAGCATCTTCAACAGTAGCATTAAACCCAAACAGGTTATCATCGTGAAAACTTGACCATCCCTTACCATATGACTTGTGTTTCAGGGTTTGGGACCTTAAATGTTTTAAAGGAAACATAACTCACTTTCAATTTGATATACAACAATCTTACACAGCCTTTAAAATATGATTGCTTTAGGGAGACACCAAGCTAATGGTCTACACACAAAGGGCAGTATAGATAGGAATGTAGAAGGATCACAGACACTAATAGCTATCCTTGATGAGAAGAAATTCTCAATGTAGTTAAAGGCTATTAAGCTGATGAAACCCTCTGGTTCTGCTCAAAAACACAATTAAAGGTAACAGAGTGTCTTCTGCATGGGATGGCTTTTTTTATGGCAAGTAAACTCTACATCTTTTTCTGCATTGAGAGGAATACTTCAAAGAGTTAAGTGTTAAACCAAGGAACAAAAAGGATCTTAACCACAGTTGAATCCCAAATTTCCTCATGAAATAGACTAGCATACAAACTATTATCAGTTACATGATTATCAGATACATGATTGATCACTTTCACAGGTTTATTACGAATCAACTTAACGGCCTGCTCCCAGTTGGCTTGTTAGCTCAATTGGTAAAGCACTGCACTAGTATCACAGAGGTCAGTGGTTCGAATCCCGTACAGGCCTGATTTTTTTCAGGTCTGATTTTCGCTATTGCATAAATAGCGTTATCTACTGCGAGGATCGTGCATCATACAAACTATTATGTCAGCCTGTCTCTTGAAAGGTCTTGGTCAATCTGAAGTAAAGCCCTTGTCTTACTTACTTTTCTGTGGATGGATACTCAGCACTGAATGTTTTTGTTCTAGGTCTTCTTTCTGAGTCATCTCTTTTCAATTCTTTCTCATGCAGTCTATAAATAAGTGATCTGATACCTCCTGGAGTGCGTGTTTTCATGTAGTAGTCCATTTGATGTTTACTGAGTCTTGTCTGAAGAAATAGTAGCATGGCTGAATTGTTCACCAAAGAATTAATGCTTGCAAGCCTGTTAACAATAAAAGTTTTACATGTTAACTGATGCAACAGTATATCATGGATTTTTTGTTAACACAATGACATTAATTGAATGTCACCAAACAACTAGTCCCAGGAATTTCCCTCTGTAAACATTAACTCCTAAATTTCTATAAAAAAAACAATGAATTGCATCATAATGAATAATTCAAGTTTAAAGGAACTGGAAGCAATTATAATCAAAATGAGAACCATACTGGGCTTGAAATAACTTTATACACAGACCTGTTCAGGAACCTTGCTAATCCCTCTTGACGTTTCTGTAAAAAGTCCTCCTTAAAACGTCCAATATACTGTTTTCTTGGCAGATGTGGGACTTGCCTATTCAAAATAAGTAACTTTAGTTTAACCTATTATTTTCAAAAAGAAAAAGAATATGTATATTTATTGGGCTTCTTTCTATAAATATTAAATTGACAAACATCTTAAACCTAGAGTGACATCATGACAAAAAAAAGACTTTAATAAGAAAATAAAAAATCTTTATCAGATAATGGAGCATTTTAAACCTTTTATAAATTCCAGCACACTTACAACATGACAAAATCATCAAGACCCAATCTTGTTCTCAGCCATACAAACTCTGAATATCTTCGTCTAACTTGAGAGTGGAACAATGGAAATGCTGGATGATTCGTCTAAAGTAAAATTAAAAGAGTAAGCAAGAACAACATTGATAAAATTCATTTGAGAAATTCATGCCTAAGAATAGATGTTTTGTGACATGTGATGATCACGTGCCAGTCACACCTAATACACGCCTCCTTACACACCTCCAATGTGTAACTCATTATCTTCATTACCTTTGTCGTTTAGATATTCATGTTTCTAGCCAAGAGCAAATAATGGTTGTAGAAAGAGATAACTAGTTATAGAGTAAGTAATTGTAAATATCCAAAATTGGGCTGGGGAATAAAACGTGCTTGCGCTTCTATTTCATCGCAACGTACACTTAAAGAATTCCATAGAGCTACCTGTAGGAATCTAAATTGAATTTCCCAATCAAAAACTCTACTTTATCGAAAACGCGATGATACCAAAGTCAAAAACAAAGTCCCGTTTAGAGTTTATTACACTGCCTTCTGGTTAGAATTCATAACATCAGTTGTTTTCTTTACCAGTTCTTCACCAAAGATAAACAAAAGCCTCACGAATGCCCAAAATTCAATACGCCATGACAAAGGAAGTTTGCATGACTTTCGATATTAGCTCCGACCTACAAAACAAACTCAAGTATGATTATAAACCTGGACTGCGAATTTCAAACCTTAAAAGGTACGGAATAAGATGACAATTTGTGTTTCGCAGAGTCTCGGGGTTTTTCGTGGACCTTAAATCAATGACAACCTTCCCGAGAGACTCAACTCCTAAACGAAACACCGGCTTACCTTCAATTCAATTTCGTAGTCAGTATAAAGCGCCTTTTCCTTCTCAATATGGGTTCTAGGATTTTTCACTTCGATTTCCAAATACTGCAAATACAACATGGACAAATAAATGGAATGAAAACGTTTCGCAAAGTTCAGTCTGATCTTTTAACGGTAACAAATCGCTTTTACACACCGCGTTGCCGTACGCAGTTTCTCCAACTTGATCTCTAATCATAATCCAATCAAAATTCGGCTGGAACAGCCTGTAACCACGTCTTCTATGCATTTGTGACCAAGATTCCTGAAAACAACAATAAACCGTCTAAGCTCCGCGGTCAAAACAAACAAAATTACAAACAAGACAGACCCCTAAACCGATTGCGTATATACCTGCCATTTTGTAAGCTACCCACTATCCCCAGGGCTTCTCGATTTCTAATTCTATGTTACATCACCGAAAAATAGAAATTTACTTATTCTAACTACGGAAAAATTTGGTAGAAACATTAATTCTGTCCAAAATAAGCTACTATGACATTCTTTTTTATCCACTACCAAAGTTCCTCTCAGCTAGACTACAAAGGCTCCAGTTCGCTATGGCTAGTTTCATCACTTGTAAATATGTAAACAGTATATCTACCATTTTGGATCTTGGCTGGCTACCTATTCTGGAGCTAAGGGACTACTCACTACTAAAGACTATTTTTAAAGCACTGTATTCTGATAACTGGCCCTCCGATTTAAATTTGCAAGTCGTTAAACCCATCAGGCATCTCCGTTCCAGTGTTGCTCCAAGGCTTTATGTTGCATTTGTACAGGGCACCTTTCAGCATTCAGCAGCCATGATTTTTAATGAATTGCCAGCAAATATAAGGAATTGCACAGATTTTAAAGAATACTGCAGGCTCTGCAAGGCGTTCTTAAAGGCGCGCGCTTTGTCTTCCTTGTAAAGACATAGAAAAAACCACCACCACCAACCAATATTTACTTTCATATATAGTTTTCTTACAATTTAGTTAGTTATCATAATTTAGTTTAATATTAAATATTAGTACTGTAGGCCTTCACAGATGAAGAGTCACACCTTTTACGTGGATATACTGTGAAGAAATCATTATTATTATTATTATTATTATTATTATTATATATTTTTTTAATTTTTTTTTTTTACTGCACGAATGACCGATGATTCATTTGTAACAATTATGATGCGTGGGTTTGGATACTCGTCAGTAGACTTTACAAGCTTCCCACTGTTTTTATAATGTTATGTAATAAAAGTTGTGCTTCATCGCTTACGCGAAGGAGAGGGAGAGGTGTTAAAAAAAGGTCACATGGAGGTCGCATTAATTGTTTGACACGACAACAACAACAACAACCTTTATTTATGTGTCAAATCTAAAATAGCAGTTATACAACCACTAACTGGGGACACATTAGACTGACACATTAGACTGACACATTAGATTCACTTGTACCTGTTTGTAAATGAGGGACGTGTGCGTTGGAAGAACAAATTATGATCTTTAGAAGCTCTTTTTTCTCATTTAGGAGTCGAGAATGTAAGAAACGCGGGGAGAGAAGGAGAAGCATCGGTGAAGAAGTGCAGTACGTGAAAGGGGGCGTGAGTGCAAATAAATCAGATTGTTAGCTTGTTTCTTATCAAGTGAACTTATCAAGGTGATTACCTCCAGAACGTCATGGTATTGTGACCTAAACTTGCATTTTAAGCAGTTTCTGGGGTTTTCTCTCCTAGAGCCTATGTAAACGTATTTGTTTTGTTTTGTTTTGTTTTTTTTTTTTAACTCCATATGAACAATAGAGAAAGAGAAACTGAGTTCAAGGGTAATTTTACCAACTATTGACCTAGGTACTGACACGATAAGATTAACTAGGCTACAAAACTAAGAACTTGTTTCAGAGGCTAGACGTTAAAACAGGTTTGGGTCTTGGAGCCTAGTTTTGGTGAGGGTGACAAGTTTATTGAACTTCAACCCAATACAGAGGCATATAAAAATGCCTTTTACTGTAGAACAATTAGAGACTGGAATGCATTACCAAATCATTTTCTTGACAAAAAATTCGAAGAATTTTTAAATAGCAATTAATAGAAATATTTAAATTGAAATATTCACTTAATTTAATTTATCTATTTATTTATTTATCTCTTAATTAATGATTAATCTTTTTACAAATATTGTACATAGATAAACCCTTTTCTTAATGTTATCTATTTTATTATTACATTGTCTATTGGTGATGGGCCTTCCCTTTGACAGACTTTCATAAAATGTATGTAGATGTAGAAGGTGTGAGGATAATGTAGGGTTATTGTCTGAAACAGGGTCAGGATTTGCAGGTTTTGGAGAACCGAGCGGCATACCCTATCGAGAATACCGAGGAGGGGTTAACTGCAGGGGTGAAGACAGATACGCAGGAATTCGAGTTTTCTATTCATTCAGTCAACATCAAAGGTTATTCCTTGACATCCAGTTGCTTTAGCACTGTTGAGGTCACAGTTTTAGAGTAGACATTGCTCAATAGATTGCATTGCTAATTTTGTTATTTCCATACCAGCCTCTCACAGACTTCGATCAAGGTGAAATAAGTCCATAAAGGCATGGAATAAACGAGTAAATCTTTCAAAAACAAACATCGCGTGCTTGGAGGGCTTCGTAAATTTTCTTCGCGTGACTAGTTTGGTGTTATTGCGTAATAAATTGACACGATTCAGTGAGGGAGCCTTCCATCAAATACTAACCGTGAAATGTAAAAGGTTTTCGTCTTAGCGTCTATTAAACCCACGTCTGATAAGCATGAGTTTCCGCACGAGGAAAGAGGGCTTATTATAGCCTTATTTGATAGAAATATTTTGTTTGCCTTCCTTTCGAACTGAGCGTCAGCGATTCCGGACCGGCGCACGCACTTCTGCTTTCCCTTAGTCGTCTTTACCGCGTCCCTCGTCGAAAGCCTCCTACGCAAGCTAATTCAAAATTCAAAAATATTCTTTTTACACTTGTGTAGACGTATTTGGGTGAGTTTGATAAGAAATAACTTGACTGAGTGAACAGCCCAACAACAAAAGCTCGCTAATACTGAGAGATATATAATCTGTTAGTTTTTGTAGGGCCCCTTCTCAGTATTGTCTAAGCTTTGCTCATGAAACGATCGAAGGCTAAATTTTTACCGGAGTATTCTGTGGCCCGCGCACGTGGTGGTTTGAAGGAAATATTGCAGGGGCAGAGAAAGTTTAACAAGCGATAAGACTGTGAAAGAAATGGCTGAGATAAACACAGACACAAATCTTGAAATAGCGTCAAACGAATGTCGCATTTACTGCTATTCCTTGCACTAGGTGTTACCCATACTCGCACGGCCACCCACCTTCACTTCTCCGTAAACTCAAGATTTCGTTTCGTCAAGAAGATCAGTTGGTGCAACTTCAAATTTACTTACGAAACAACGGAAAACAGTGACGCCGACAACGGAATACGAGGTCAGAGAACGTCCGCGAATAAGGTTGCGCGTCTGTTTGGGTAAGAAATATTCACCCTGACTTACCTCATTAAGAAAGCTGTCAACAGATGTTCAAGGCTACATAACATGACTACCGAAGCACGATCAGAAATAAAAATCTGGGACGTCTTCCATAGTGGGCAAGAGACGCACTTCAATTTTTGATGTTTTCATGAGCTGTCACACATTTCAGCTTGTGACTGACGTTTTTCCAAGGCTTGAATGGAACGCTTGTAGCTCTAAACCGGAATTATCTTAATTTCGCACCGGAAGTAGTATTGCATAGCCTATGTTCTTTTTTCTTTTTTTTTTTTTTTTGTCACCGTCCGTCAGGAGCAGGCGAGCGGTTTCTGAATTTTCTTATCCAAGGTCGAACGCCTTTTCTAAGTTTATCAGAAACCGTTGCCTCATTTTGCCTTACTCTGGAAAGAACCAGTTTGCGTATCGTGTTAGACAGGTGCGACTGACAACACGCGCGAGTACAAATCTATTTTGATATGAGCAAGTGAGGTCAAACTTCAGATCGTTATAGTTGATGTAGAACATAGATGCACAAGGTCGTTAAAATCCGAGTATTCATAAATCTTTCATTTATTCTCCACTCTTCGATTATAGAATATTTCTACGCATGGAGATCACGTTGAAAAAGTGACCTCACTAATTAGTGTTCATGAAGGGGCAACTGAACTGTCATCATAACATTTCACTGTCCTGTCTAAATGTCATACTTGGTTTAAAAGCTCTCAAGAAAATTCCACCTCCTCCAAAAAAAAATCGGATATGACTTCCAAATTTATTAGGAAGGTATTTGCACTTCATCGAAAGACTAAAAGTATTATTTCTTGAGCACTATGTCACGGAACATTTGTCACGATAATCATACCACGTTTGTGTAACGCACTTCTATCATTTCAACTACGTCGTAAGTCAGGAACACAGCCGCTGACTGTTCACTGTCACATGAAGATGAAAATTCGTCACGATCTTTCCAATCAAGTCCACCAATGGACGAATGAAGAACAGTATATTCGGAGTCATTATCGTCTCCAGCTTCTTCCGAAATGGCATCCCCTCGGACACTACCTTCGTTACTGTGATAGCCCATACTAGTCGCGGATTTACAATTATTAGGGTTACGAGCACAAGGAATACTTAAAACGTCGTACTCTTTCACTCGCACTTCTCTTTGGCAAGCATCCAAAATGTCTTCTTCATCACTACTGTTACATCCACCAACTGATTTATCATTTTGAGAATTTAACCAGTCTCTCACACGAATAAAAGGTTCGTCTTTAACGATTTCATAGTCTGATAAATCAAATTCCAATTCGTTATCCCCTTCATAAGGATTGGGGCTGCCCGATTTACCATCACTGCTCTCACAATTTGCTTCATCAATCTTGGGACAATTCATAGCCGAAGGGGCAATCATAAGCTTTCCACCTGGCAATACAGATGCTACATTATGGGTCAGACTAAGTCTTCTGTTTAAAGGGGTTGACTGTTTATCTGAACAACTGGGACAGAACCCCCGAAGTTGTGAGTTTGAACGTGATTTGCAGGTGGTTTGACTAGCATATCCTGAGCTCCATCCATTTCCCATAAGGCCGTTGGAGGCGAAGTGCTGTTGTGAGGCAACCCAGCTCGAAACATCTGAAAGGAAACATAGAGAGTGAGATTGATTTTTCAAAATAATCCGAGTATCTTTTTAAAGGTTTTGCATACTTTTATTTTAGGTTAAAGGAACCCTAACGCCTGCCAAGAGAACCTAACAGCCCCCTGATAAGATCAAAAGAAGTCACTAATGGGAGTAAGACTTCATAAATATCTAATAAAACAAGGAAAAGGATTCTGCTCGGATAACCCTGGAATCAAAGCAAAATTAAGAACAGAGGAAAAATTAAAAAGGTCTTGTTGAGGACTAGACGTTGTACAGGAATGATGTATTCGTCTCTTCATGGCGGCCATTTTCTTAGCCATATAAATCATGCGAACTCACCGTCAAATATTCCTCGACTATCATCAGCTTCATCTGGTGGTACACTACCCGAATAACCGCTGTCCACTGTTGAATGACATGTACATCTTCTGTCTTTGTATTGTTGATATTCTCCTGCAGGGTCGATTATGTCGAGAAGATCTCTTTTATCTCTTCCGCTGATAAAATTCTCCATCTCTTTTCTTGTTAAGTTACTTTGGATAAACAGATGAAATATGGAGTCCGCGAGAATTGGGGTGATTCGCGATAAACTGAAAAACAAAAAAACATATAGAGTATACAGATCACTTTATCTGGTTTACGCGTGCAAATTCGAGCACCATGGTGGGAAAACAAATGCAAACAAGAAGTGTATCCTACTTCATCCCACATTTCCAAATTACTATAATTTGAACAAGAGAAATGCTTGGTAAAGAAATCAAATTTACAAACTGAAAATATCTTACAACATGTAATAAGGTCACTACAAACGAAATTTGCGAATTTCAAACAAATGAAATCGCATCACGTTCCGCTCTTGTGAAAGATATTAACTCAGATATACACCATTTACACCAACACTTTTAATTTTTAAATGGCGAAATTGAGATTTTATGGATCTAAAAATCAGGTTCCTTCCAGAAGCTTCAAAATACTGATTATTCAACAAAATATGCAGAGCAGTGAATGCAACAACAAAAAGGCTTTGTTCTGAGTTGTACTTTGGACCACTTTTATACGTCACAAAAAGGCTCAAGATTCAAAAGCTTAGGATTAAAGCTGTGCTGTTCACGTGCGATTCTACTGATTGACTTCGTATTTCATCATGTCAGCAGCCAGTATAGTTGGTGCGAAAAGATAACGAAATCTAAAAGTAAACTCGATTGGAAAAGATAGTTTAGTCCCGTAATTAGCTGTAACATGAGCAAATAAATAAAAATCGGTGTTTTGACTCCACAAGTATATCCGCCCTTCTTTAATATCTTTTAACATTTTTCCAAAAAAGAGGAACAAAAGGGAAAAAAAGAATTGAGGGATATGGCTCGATATCGTGGTGCCAGAAACCAAGAACCTTTTTATATCCAACTGGGATTCAAAGATCTCACTTGATCACAGTGCTACAAAAAAAAAAATTAAATTTATATTGGCTGGGGATGGCGGGCAAACCTGCCATACCGAAATGTCTAGTTTTGCTACCGAAATCTCGGTAACCGGGCTGGAAAATTACACAGGTAAACTATCGAGCCCGGTCATCAGGGAGAAACTAAAAGAGTCACGCCGTGTTATTGTAACGCGGAACAGCGCGTGGGTCGTTCAGTTTCGCCCATCCCTAAGAAGAACAGGAGATGAATTTAGGTCAAATAAGTGATGGCAAAATAAGGACTGGATCTTACCTGGCCAAAGCCTCCTGTAGACCACTCCGACGTTCCTCTAAAAATCTTTTGGAAAATCGACCAAAAACTTTTCTCTTTGTTGGCAACGAAGGTAGTTTCCTGAAAGTGACCAGATAAGAACTAAATCTTGTATCAACCGGTGCGTGGTTAAATACATCTCAGAGACCGCCTCTGAAAATGGAGTTAGACGAGTAGTGTAACTCGTAGAGCGCGTACCTTGCAAGAAGCAAGTGATGAAAGCTGATTTTCATGAATTAAACTAATTTAAATGGACGGCCGTTTACAGTATGCAAATTCTTTTTGATTCGCGAAACAAAGAAGGGGAGGAGGTCGCTTGGCAACCAGACAAGTCGCTCCAAGGGTGACGCAATCTCCGCAGTTTGGACGCTTAATTCTTCATTTCCATCAGGAACTTGGTTATTTTTCAGCCAACAATTTTAAAACATGTATGACTGACTTAACGCACGTCGCAAGCGATTTATATATGTTGCTCCTTTTGAGCCTTCGTGTAACACTTTCAGTATCTCAAGAAGGCATGAGTGCCACTTAAATTTCTTTGCAATGACAACTAGAAAATCAATAACTCTTAAATGCGAAGTTCTTAAAGCATCTTACTTACAGTGACAGCGAGGTATGTCTTGATAAATGTTTCCAGAGCCACATAAACTCCGAGAAACGTCTTCTAACTTTAGTATTTTGCTTAGCGAAGATCATACTGTTGGTCTGTGAATAGGTAGGTGAGTTACTACAGATTAATTCTCCATAAACATTTAGCATTTTTCGGTCTAACTAAATCACATAATTAATAAAAAATACACCCAAACATTCTAAATGAATCATAGAGGCGCAGGGGTGTAATTGTTCATCAAACTCTGGAGCTTTTCTTCTCCTCTCTTTGAACCCGCCCTGCCCCTCTGGGAAAACAGGTAACGAGGAAAACTTTGATATTTTTACTATCTCTTTGTATGCTGCGTTGAATTGAAAACTTTGATTGAAGTTTTGAAGTAGTGTTGAAAATCAAATCTTGATTTATTCCGTGCTAAAATAATGAAGGTTTCGTGATTAGCATGTTTCATAAAATTTGCCTTGTTCGGCCGCACCCCCAACCCCGCCCACACGGATACGTGCCCACCAAATTTCCTTGCAGGATTGTACAAGGCCAAGGCTTAGAACTGGAGTTTTAAGGCATGTTTCCAAAAATAATACCTCTACCACTCACCAGAACTACGATCTCGAAGTCGGTATAGACAGGCCATCCGCGCAACAAATGGGTTCGAGGATTTCGAACGTGGATAGAGATGAACTGAAAAAGAGAAAAACAAAATGCTGATAGCGTTCTTTATGTATTGCTTCTAACAAAAAACAAAACAAAGCAAAAAAGAACACACACAAACGATGACTAGTCTGCTCAGGGACCATCCAGTACCATTTTAGAGTTCTCTTGCATGACTCTGTCCTGCACCCCTCCATTTGGCTAACAATCAGCTTACAAGATTATAGAGAGGGTCACGTTTTTAAGAATTTGTTTGAATCCAGAGGGTTCAATTTCCTTCTGTCGCTAGATCGGTCGATGTGGTTCGATCCGGGGGTTCGATTTCCGACGCTCTCCGAAAAACCGCGGGCTCTCTTCACTGCTTTTACTGCTGGCAAATCTTTACATTTTTTCATCTGACTTTCTCTCTAAGGACTAGTTTACTTCTTCAAAACGTTTTCAGTAACGCAGAAAAAGGATACGTTCCCTACCGTAATTGAGGTCTTTCCTCTCATTAGTAACATCTCCTAGTTCACGTATAATAATCTCGGGTATGAGATCACGCGTGCGGGTCCCCTGTGGGTCCAGTCACGTTTTTTTACCCAATTTGTGTTTAGACCGTAGTTAAAACATTTACAATATTCTAAGCGCATGTGCAGTCTATAATCAAATTGACGAGACAACACAATTGAGCGAGAGCACCAGAACAAAGATGTCCGATCTCGTTCATTATATAGCGTAATCAAACATTTTTTATAGGGTTCCTGGAATTTGGAAATTACTTGTCTGAAGAGACGAATAAAGATTTTTTTCGCTTCTGAAAGCCTTCTAGCATCAACTCAGATAAACAATGGGTCAAACATGCAATTTCAGTCCATAATATGACCAACTTTCCTTCATATTTTATTCAAACAGTGGATTGGTCCTAAATGATCCCTTGCAAACCTCTCCTGTTTTTTTCTTTGGATGAGCCCAAGCGCGGAAAATCGAAATCGCATATCCATAATAAAGGGAAAATTTTGATTTCAGACGCTACACGCACTCTTGAGATACACTGTCAAGCAGGTCAGATCGTACGCTTAATATTCCTCAACAGGATCCTATTCTGGTTAGTTATTAAATGCTTTTCTATTCCATTGCATTTCTCAGACAAAAGGTTCGCGGAGACAGCAAAGTGGCTATTGGTAAAGAAGCTCACAACAAGATCTCTGCCTTCCTTCCTCACACAGTTCGGCGTTAAGAAATAAACTGTAAAGATTTATACTTTGTTTACCTCAAAATCCGCTGCCTGACCGGCCAAGTTTGCCATTATCGGGTTGTTTTGTGTTCGATTAATCACTCAGCGTAGACTTATGGTGTAACTGCTTCTCGTCTGGTGTGAGAGAGAGTTAGTAAACCGCTCTAACACAGCAGATTCTGATATGTGTTGTGTCGCGCCGTGACATGAACTGGAATCGAATCAGCAAAAAGACGGAAGTCTACGAGCGACTGTCAATCGCTGGCTTGTCAGCCACTTGGTTCCTCTCGATGTTTCAATGCCCTCTTTGCATCGGCAAACTTCTCAACGAGCCTGTGTTCTGATCCTCAGAACACGAGGAGAGGTCGCGAGATTGCAACACCAAGTTGGTAAGTGTCGAAAACTATCATAAATGTGCACCGCTTTTATTGTCTGCCAGCGTCACTGGGGTGAAGCAGGAGCCAATTAAAATCGAGTTTGAGCAATAAGTTTAATAAGTTATGCAAATGATCAAGTATCATTCCAGCAGGTAACGTCATCATTTTACCTCATCACCCTTCAAAACCGGTTTACAGTATTAAGTTTCACAATATTCGCCAAAACTCAATCGTTACATTTAAAATTACGATTTAAACTGTCTTACAACTAATAAGAACCAGTTACTGTGCAGCGAGCAGCTTCACTCCCAATTATTGCCTTCCATTTCAATTATCATCTCATCATAAGCAAGATTAGAATTGGGATGGAGTGTTTTATTAGAAGCATAAGGAGAGTATACCCTTTCACATTTAGAAAACATGAAATCGATACCTCGAGAGCGAACGCTCCCTTAAAGAACTGGACCAACAAGCATTAAGTATTTTAAAATTCGAAGAAATCGAAATGTCGGGGAAAACAGTAAGGTGTCGATTTATTTAACCCATATACATCATTTTCTATTTCAGCACGAATCATTTCTATTTTAGAGCCACTTAGTTAAATACGAACCGTTACGCCCACGTTTTAATCAGTGGCATTTGTCACCTTCAAGTGGGCTTTAGTATTCCCCTCTGCTTGTTATCATGATTTTCATTTTTCAAAAGTACAACTTAGCAAAATTTCGCTGTCCCGGACGATGAAGGTACCTCTCACTCCCCGGACTGATATCTTTCGCCTCTCCAGAGAAGGAAACAACACCGTTCGACATCCCTTGTTTTACAAACGATCGTAACCGTCATACATGCACTATGTATAAAACTGTTAGGAGAATTTGAACGGAAAACAGTTTTTGTTAAATGTGTCCAAATCTTGTTGACTGGTCCTCTTTTTTTACTTATGCCCAGATGGCTACTTTTTATTCTATTTCAATCCTAAGACAATCACTGATTGTCTTAAATGCTAGCCTCTCGTAAGGACCGCAATATTTTCTCATCGCAATACTATTCTCGAGGAAAACCAATATAATACCCCAACCCTAAACCCTAACCCTAACCCACTTTTTGTCTGTTTTCTTGTCTTTCATCACGTCACAACAGATGATTTTTAGAAGTTTAAAATATCTAAGTCGGGTGGGCCTACTAAAAAATTTCGTGCCATTCAAATTTCATTGCGTGCGCATTAAGCAAGCACGAAATAAAACGTGACACTACAATTCGTTACCAATCCTGTTCGATTCATATGATTCCCTTTTTTCCGGCCTGTGAAGTGAAGGGTAACGAAGAAGACTAATGACCTTGTTTAGGTTGGCTGGGTAGGTGTGATAGAGCAATTCAAGCTGCCTTCCTCCGAAGAACAAGTACTGATTCATCTGCGCTCTTTCATAGCATCTTTAAGGTTTTTTAGAGAAGCCTGAGGGATTTTTACCCATAAAAAGTTTGTTTGGGAGAATGAAGGACCTAGCGGGTCAACTTCCGCTTAAACCGGAAATTTAAACTGCTTGTGGAAGCGAGGCTATAAAGCAGGAAATGGCGCATTGGCATTTGAAAAGTTAGATTAATGTCTGACTACAGGAATTGTTGTTATTGAAGAAAGACAAGAGAGTTAGCATGGAGAGTAAAAAAGGAAGAAGAATATCGAAGGTTTTGTAACATGCAATCGAATTTTCACATCTACTTTCTGTTTCCCTCTGAATAAGCCTTTCAGCACAAGTACAAGTGGTGATCTCCAGTTTGAAATATATCAGCTAAACTTTAAGTCGATACTTGAATATTTGTTAATCTTGTTGAGTGATCGTTTCTTGTTAACGTTACTAATACCTTTAAACATATTAGAGAAGGAGAATGAGTGTGAGTCTGGAAAGACAGAGCACCAATCCCAGGGCACAAGACAGGAAACGAGATCAAGAAAACATGGAAGTGGAATCATCAGGGACAGGTAAGATTTAATTAACGTTTCTTTGCCTCGGGTTCAGATTCGTGAATTCTTTGACTCAGTTTCTTTTTACGAAAGCATTATTACCTTTTTCCAGGTGTGTCTAAACTCTCCACCTATACCACACTTAAAGAAAACAACAGAGCCTTGGCGGCAGCTCTTGGTAAAGTTTTGTTGAAGTTATTCCTGTCTGTCAAACAGCTATGAATCATAAGTATAATTTAAATTTTCCTAAACAATTATCGTCTAAGATATAAACTTTGCTTTCAGAGGATACCCAACAAGAACTTTGCCTTCTTCAGCAAGAAAATGTCCAACTTAAAAAGCAAATCTATGACAGTCATTTAGCATTTGTGGAGAAAACAAAAGAATTAGAACAACAACTGAATTCCCTTGAGAAGATCTCGGGAGAGGATTTTGCTTTGAAAGCGGAGGTGACCCTTTCAAATTTAATTTATCATGTGTTTGTTATCTACAAAAAATAAAATTGGTCATTTACTGTGGTTCTTCTTTCAAGTTCATGAAGCTGAAATATGAGCAATGTGAAATTTAAATTTTTTTGAAAGTCCTGGGGAAAAAGAAACTGGTGTAAACTAGATACCTGGGGTACAACTACACTTTTGCCTGAGGCATGCAAATTGGTTCAAATGGTCGACGCTCTCATGAAAGTGTGGGGTCAGAATTGTATAATTCCACTGTATTCATTCTTTTAGCTTACTAGTTTTGCATCTCTCTCTCAAGAAGGATGCTGATTAATTAAAAGGTTCTTAAGAGTCATTTTCTAAGTATATACCTAAAGGGTGCTATGAAATTGCCTGAACTTTAAACCAGGAGTTTTTTGTGGCTCAAAATTCTTAGAGTTTTGTTTAATTCATACTACTTTACATATGCATGTACATTGTAATTAGACTTTTTAATTGGACCAGGTATGTTGTTAGCTTATACTTGATTTATTTTATGTAGGCTGGAATTAAAGAAGTCCATAAACTCCTGAACCATTCATGTAGTAAGTTTGTTCAAGGTTCAAACTTTTTGTCAGAAGCCCTTCATCTTCTTAGCTCTCTTCACACTCAAGCTGAAGGACAGAAGCAGAAAACTATTCATGTAGTATCAAACAATGCATCTCCTTATGTGGACCCTGCCTCCAACTGTGTGTGTACCACTCCTCCGCCAGATGACCCATCAGCAATGGAGATTACAGATGTACAATCAACTATCATTGAGAACAATGAGATTTTCATCAAAAACTTGGACAGAGGTAAGTTTAGGGTAAGTTATACAAATCCAGTGTAAGAAATAATACCTGATCATATTCCAGACAATGTAAAAAGCATAAAAAATTCCTTTACCAGTGAAATGTGTTTGACAACTTGATAGTTTGGAAATCTGGTCTAACACTATTTTAAAGCAAACAGAGAAATCATTACTGACTGCCATTCAGTCACCATAATATGCTGAAACGTAATTTCTGAATAACATTTCATTTTAATATGTTTTGAAAATGCTATGCCCATTTATTTAGAAAAAGGAATGTTATGTAGCATTGAGGCCCAAAATGAAACAGGGAAGGAATCCAGTCAGTCCCAGCTTCCTAGTCGGCGGGCAAAGAGAAAAAGCACCAAAGGTGTCAGTTATGTAGAACCAGGACTTCGCAGGTATCAAATTTACAAACTTACTGACAATTCATAATAAAGGAGTGGTTAAGCCATACTAAAAGACCTTACCTTTTCCTTGCCTTGTTTCCTAAGCATGTACATGCTTATTCTTCATGCAGCATTCAACTTTATAGCGTGATCATTTAAGTTTTGTCTTTGTTGTGTTTAGGGGGGGTTTCTGTAAAATTTTCGTGTTCAGAGTCATGTTAACTTTGCGGGTTGATTTATTAGGATTTCATCAACAAGTCATGGTATGCAAGGTTGAGCTGAAGATGTCTCTTTGAATTTTCCTTTGGTTTTCATTGTAGCAAATTGCGTAGAGGAGACCCATTTACCGACAGCAGATTGTTTGGTGATGAAAACCAAATGAATGCAACACGAAAGAGTAAGTAAGAAGGTTTATTTTTATTAAATCTTATAAGTACTTACATTTACTATCTTGAGCATTACACCCCTTACAATAAACCACCAGAAAATGATGATAAAATCCATCTTATCAAATCGTTTATTTATTTTATGTCTATGGAATTAAATTCAAATTAAAGTTTGGTTGAACTGGAATACTTCCCACTCTTTACTTGTATTGTGAAATTTTTTTCATCTTTACAGGGTTCGTATGCATCTGAAAACCCTTGAAAACCCTTGAATTTCAGGAGGCCGATTTCAAGGCCTTGAAAGTACTTGAATTTCGTTTTGGGTCCTTGAAAGTCCTTGATTTTTTATTGAACATTGAAAAATATCTGCTTTTGTTTTGCACCAGCGGTAAACCCAAAACACAGATGTTAACAGAAACATTTTTCTTGGTTTTGAGGTAAAATTGTCATTACAAAAAGTCCTTGAAATTTCTAAGTAGGGTCCTGGAAAGTCCTTGAAAAGTCCTTGAATCTTTGGCCTGAAAAAGTGTACGAACCCTGTCTTTATCTTTTAGTATTGAATACATCAAGTGACTATAAGTTTTGCAGCACATTTTAAATCAAATCAAATAACTTTTATTAATTTAACTCCACTTAAATGGCTTATAAAGTACACATATTACAGCTTAAAAATATTGATACATGAAGTTAAGACTATCTTAATTCTGGACAAGTCAGGAACATGTTGATGGTATAAGTAGTAAGTTGTCTCTTCTTGTAGAAAAGAAAAGTTTGACAAGGGGAACCACAATTCTACCTATAATGGGAAAAACAGTAAGTGTGTGTGTTTCATTCCCATATTTGTTTGAGATGAAAGTGTTTAATTCTGAGTCACCTTGTCTGGCTCTAAGTATTCATAAACGTTCTCCTTTCTTTAGAAAAAACGTGCTCCCCTGGCAAATCTGACAAACATCATCGTTGAAGAAACCTAAAGATGTCTTATTAGAAACTTCCCATGCAAGAATTGAACAGCATCAAACAATATTTATTACTCAGGGTGTTTATTCAAAAGAGGATTATGTCTTGTACATAGAGGATATTTTTGTTATGAAAAATTGATCTTTTTTGGTGTATTTCGATTAAATTCATTTATTTACAAAGTAGTTGTATTTTTTAGGGAACAGTCTTTTTTCCTTTCTGCAGCTGTCTTTCTCTGTGAATTCCTACCAAATTAATCGTACAATTCTATTAAAGAAGACCTAGTTTTCCTTCAATTTTCAATCTGGAGTTTTAGGGGGTCAGCTGTTTTAAAATGTGCGAAAAGAATACGTTTTTCGTTCTAATTCCACTAGCGCGTATTGGAAAATATATAGTATGTACCTCGTCCACTACAACTGATCCCTTTTCCTACGTTCGAGAGTGGGATAATTGTCTAAATATTCAATGACACATTCCTAAACAAATGTCTAAAATCTCGCTATAAACATTACGACATAAGAGTTTGTTTATTCATGGAAAAAGGTTTCTGGGAAATGAGCTCATATACCCTGGACTGTAAACCAATCAAAGCTTGAGAATCGAGATAAATATCAAGGCTAGTTTTAGAAGAAGAGATACACACTGCGAAAGCTCAATAAGGAGAGATGGCCAGTACACGAGCTACGGTGTAAAATACATTACCCAGTTTACGCGGAAGCGCGAGTTTCAATTCAACACTTCTAGTTTTAGTGCCTGTGTAGAACAACCAATTATTGCAGCATCGTTCACACAGTGTAGAGAACGACACCCTTGGAAACAGCTTACTCCTAATGCTCTCACTCTCTGATTCCTAACACAAACACAGAAACAAAAGCCCATTGAATCAGACGCAATTAACAGAAATTATTTTGTGGGAGGTAATTGAGAACATTGACAGCTCCTTGAAATCTGAACGATTAGTGTTGCATTTCTTGGCCTCAGTCTCTTCAAAGCTTTTTCTCTCCGGGATGGAATGGGTTCGGTGCGCATAATGGCAAGGAACTAAGAGTATGATTGACAACTCGATGATGAGCTTCGTCAGCTCGGATGGCCAAGATGACGTCACGCATTTTTGAACCCTCCTAGGAATAAAAGAAAAACAAGAAGAAGAAAGAAAAAGTCCAGTTTTAAACCACTATCATATCAGGTTGAAAAAGATGTTTGTTCCTTTTTGTGACGACTGAACTCTTACCGGTAATTTCCAGTAATTAACAGCAATCTTGGGTGCCAAGAGATTTTCCCACAGAGGTAACTTGCCGCAGTCGATACACTAAACAAGATGGAAGTTGAATGAGTCAAGACATGTTTAGATCTGGTAAATATTCAGAAGATATACGAATAATTATCCGGCCGAGCCAACTAGAAAAGACAGTGATCTCAATTTTCAGGGTGTTCTGATACCTCAATACAGTGTGTATATGTTTTGACAGCTTCCTCTTCCAGGTAACCAACAAATCTGTGGCAGAACTTAGGGCTTATCAGGTAGGCTAAGAAAAACAGGTTTACAAATGTTCCTGAAGAAAATAAAGCGGAGGCAAATGTTCAAAAACGCACTTCAGAAAAAACGTTTCTAATGGAGAAAGAGGCCACTCTTTTCCTTAGTCAGTGGTATACTTAAGTACTTCCTGGTCCTTAGACAGACGGGACATTGAGGCGTAAGCCACCCCACCCCTCCAAAATGTGAATGTTTTATATTCTCCTTATTGAACCCCTGTGCATCTTCCAGTTGATAGTAACCTCAGTTATTTATGTAATGATTATTCCATCTCCGTAACGTTTGATTCTTGTTTTTTTTTATACTACGTTTGCAAGTTTGGACCCTTCAGTCTGTTATAAATCAGTTAATCCTCATCAAGCAGGTACAGAGAAGAGCCACACGTTTTATTGTCGGTAGAAACAGTGCTCTGTGTTACAGAGATCGTCTGATTAAACTAAATCTACTTCCGCTAAATTATTGGTTAGAATGTCTAGATTTAGCTTTCGTTTATAAGTCCTTGAAAGGAGATGTAATTTTTACACGACACTTTGAAGAATATTTTTCCTTTCTAAGGGGGTGCTCTCGCCGAGCTAGCTCTATCTTAGAACAAACAGAACTCGCACCTCACTTTTCCGTGATCTTTTCTTCACAGAATTACCATTTTGTGGAATAGTATTCCTGATGACATTAAGTTAGCTACTTCCCTGGATTCCTTTAAGCGCAAGCTCAAATTTTTTTCTTCTGGCGTCTGCATTATGTTTATGGTGGGAATAACATTCGCTCATACAAGATTATTTGTCCAAAATGCAGAAGAGTGAATATAAGAAACGCATGTTCTTGTTAAGATGCTTTTATCTAATCCTTTATATGTTTTGTTTTTTAGGTTTATGGGGTTGGGTAAGGTGGTTGAACCTTGTAGGGGATACTATATCCTTTTGTTCTAACACACGTATATATTCTATATGTACAAATCTTGAAATAAATAAATAAATAAATAGATAAGATGGTACAAAATAAAATTTAAAAAAGTATTTTTGTCTCCTTTTTATATGTTTGACAATATTTAATTAGTAGAGTGATTTCTGGACTCATCATTTCTAAGAGCCAACGGGTTCCAAAGCAGTCTTGTACACTACCTTGAAAGCCATGAAAAATTGAATTCAACAGCTGATTGTGTGATGAAAGTAGTGAAGTTTTAAATAAATGGTATGAGATACCTTGAGCGAGGAGAACTGCTCCCCGAAATAAAATCCCAGGTTGCTTCATTTCCAGGGCTGTCATCAAATGCATTCTCTCGTTTTCAGCCTCCTCTAAAGATTAAAGACATTAATTGACTTTTAGGCGATTGAGATTAAAGCCACTACGGTTCAGTTTATAATCAGCACAGTCTTTATTTTACCCTTACCCAGAAGTGTGTGTATCCATCCATTATCCCTCTGGAGCCTCCTAAGCGCGTGAAAGTGTCTTGTCATACCAGCAATCATTCCGGGAACTCCCGCTATTGTCTCCAACATAATGATCCGACTGTTGGATTGAGCATTTATGTTGAGTAAACAGTGGTGGAAAAAACTCCAGCCGCAATAGAAGATAGTAAAAAAAATAGTCGCAACCACGCTAATTTCCTTCCTCTACAGTGGGGTTTTCCAATTAAAGAGAAATTTTAAAAATTACACCACCTTCGCGGCCAGCTTTGGAATCAAGGCGTGGCCCTGGTCATTTTACCTGTCGTACAGGCTCACTTAAAAGAGCTTTAAAGTTGGAAAATCTGCTCAAACTTACTTGAGCCAGCGGTTTTCGTCGAGCTCCATGAAACGATACAATGAAATGATGTCAAATGCCGCTCTCAAGGACTGAACACTTTTGTATGCAAGCTTTAGGTTCAGAGAAAGAATGAAATGGAATTAGCACTTAACTGATACAAAATTGCACGCGAATGATTCATTATATTTCTTCACAACAGTATCATTAAACCTATAGCTTGGTAAAAATTACATAAACATAGCCTGAAATGTGTGGGCGTTCGGCGTAGACATGATAGAAAAGCGCTGATGCCCATGCCAGGTAAAGTGGATCAACATTTTGTTGCATAGCCCTTTTAAGTAGTCTTGAAACTGACAACAGCGTCAACAGTGTATGACTGTTCTGAGATAAAGTAGCAGCAAATTGATCGCTAGGAACAAGTACAACACCTTATCGACAAACGTTTGCGGTTTTTCATGTGTAATTTCCACGCTTTGGACATCCTCTTCCGTCCTAAATGACAAAAAAAAAATTAAAGCTAATTGAAAACACTTGAGTTTGTGGGTAAAACTCTTTAATTTTCCACTTAGATTTGTGACCTCTCAATACATTTATAAATGATATTGTGTAATTACGTCAGTTGACGTTCTTACCAGACTGGGTGTGGCATTCTGTAGTTTTCATCCCCAGCTGTACTTCCGTTTTTACCAAAATGACCTATGGGTTTTTCCTTGGATTGAGTGGTTACCGCTGGCGTTGATTGTTGAACTTCTGATGCACTTCGTTTAAGAATGGTATTTGTGGAAAACTGGGAAACCTGCAAGTAACAAAAGTTCACACTAACAGTAATAATGATGATGAAACTTTATACTTTACTTGTATGATAATAGTAATGATAATGAATACAATTGTAATCACAGAAATCATAATGTAACGGCTGCTTACTGCAGAACGAAGAAACGAAATGATTTCCTCGGTGTACCGCGCGATATCATTTAGTGATATCATGTGTAGCTTAACTTTCGCAAATTATGTGCTCCTTTTGTGACATTTTCTTTAGGTGAAGTGCTCGGCTCCTTTCGTAATGTCCGTCAACCCAGTGTCCCTTATATCTTTGCCTATGATAATATGGATAACTATGATCAAATTAGCTATTTCATTTGTTAGTTAACAACTTACCCCTGTTCGCCGTGGTCGTGCACTTCCCCATAATTTTCCAAAGAAATCGACCGCAGAGATCGGTTTGACGAAAGTAGAACAATTTGCAATTCCCCTCACTGAAAAAGGAACCCGTTGAAGTCCAATTGTGGCCATTTAATGAACGTTACGACGATCAAAGAAGTAGTGTCTGGTGCAATTTCCCTCTTTTCTATCGACCGTCAGTTTTTATCATTTTTTGTTTATGGAATAACGCAATTTCTCGTCACGATTGCAGTATTCCTCTGACGTAATTAAGAGCTTCCGGTAGAATTTTCTGAGAGACTACTTGAATATTAGAAAAATTAGAACCCGTTTTCCCCGGCCAGTATTGATGAGTCATACTCGGGCTAAAGATTCCAAATATTAATATTTGACACTTTTATTTTTTTCGTTTTTTGTTTTGTTTTGTTTTGTTTTGTTTTGTCTTTTAATAATCAAGCAGTTAATGAGGTGTCTCGCTTATTAGAATATACCAGTTTTGACCACCGTATTTTCTTCTCTTTCTTCTTCATCCACTGAAATGAGAAAAAAACAAAACAAATCAAAGCACGGATTTTCGAACGCGTGTTTAGCTGTATAGAATAACACAAGCTAACAGGGAACACCAAAGAGCGACTTTATTGACACAATGACAAGCAATGAAACACGCTGAAGGAATAATATAACGAATAAGCATGCAGAAGTTGGAGCACAGTATTTGCACATTGTTAGCAAATTTCAAATTCTTCCCTCGGGTGAAATACTCCATTTAGGTGATAGATTCGTTTAAAATGCTTAATAGTGAAAAAGAAAGAAAGTCGCTAGATTTTTACTTTCCTGCCATCTTACCGTATTTTCTTTTGATTTTCTTGTTTGGTAACGCGAAAGTACATAAGTCACAAGAAATATCGAAACAGCTACATTAGGCACAATTTTTGTCCAGCGAATTCCCGTTTTCCGATCGTTTTCATTTTTTCTCATAGAAGCATTCAGCTAAGAAAAATTTATCTTTCGTCATACAAAGAACATGTAGGAAACGAACGTCGATTAAGTCCCAGTTGACAACTAATGATGCAATAAGTGCCACTCGTCCAAGGTCATTCAAAGAATAGGTCATCGGTCGCGGAGGCATGGATCCAACAACGATTTGGACGCCATTACACTGAACTGTAGGTGATGTGGGCCAAACTCGGGCGCTTGAGGCCAAGATGTCTAAGATGTAAGCAAATATATGTCTTTTAGTTGTTTGAAATACGTGTGATTTTTAGATAGAATATTCAGCAAGCTGTGGCATTATTTGCTCACTCAAAGTATCTTCAGAGTTGGTATACTATCATCCAAAAAACTCATAGGTGACTAGGGACACTTATTTAAGCTTATTTTTTTTTTTTTTCAAGTGGAATTTGTAATGATTAAGCACAAATAAAAAAGAGAGCATAAGTTCTACGGACTATGAAAAATTATTGAGTAATTGTCAATTTCAACGCACTCAGTGAAGATGTCTGTTGGCCAAATGAACTGCCTTGGGGACCTTGATCTGAAGTCTGCAGGCCTTGTGGGCTGCAGCTTACTGAGTTGGGCTTTACTCCAAATCAGTAAGGGAGAAAAGTTGTATGGCTTGGCAAACAGCAAGGCTTAATGACCTGTTAATGTGAAACAGTGTATTATTTATATATGGAATATAATATAGCATTATTGTTTAATACTGACATTTCACAACTTACACTCAAAGTCTTTCTTGAAGGCAGTCGGCTCTGTCCTCGTGCTTCAAAGGGGAATTACAGAACTATTACTCAGATGTATTCTGCATGTATTGAAACCAATGAAACTTTTCTCCCCTTTAGTTCATGACAAATGGTTTCTGAAAGATTGGACAGCTGATACTAGCTGGCTTTCTTAACAGTTGAAAGTAAAAATCATGTATTTTGGACAGCTTATGTGTTTTGTCTCAGCCATTTGACCAACAAACCCTTTGAGACTCTCTTACTACATTGGCCACATACAAAGTTATATGTCGATTAACTCAAATGCAAACATTCAGTTTGTTTCACCGCCACTGATTCTTCTTACGAAAACCAACAAAATGAATTGATCAAAAGTGCTTGAATTAGACTCTTGATTCACCTCATTCTCACTTCAATCATAAGGTTTGATCTTTGATTTTTTATTGAAGAACCAACTTTTTCAGTCCCTGGTAAAAGCTCGCCACCAAGTTCTAGGGATGAAAGTTAGTATCACTAGGGCCTCATTGCTTCTTATGGGGCCATTTCTCTTAGTGATTCTTAAATCTTATTAATTATTTAATAGTGACTTAATATTTTCTTTTTAGGCTTAGAAGAACAGCTTTACAAAAGGAATGTTAATTTTAACCACAGGTTAGATATCAAATGATTCGTATAATTGTTGATTGCATTATGGGGGTTTTTAATAATTCCTTGACATTTTAGAATGCTATTCTCTCAATTGCTGTGAGCATGTAATATTTTAGGATTGTTTCTTCCAGGAAATTCATAGTTTAAGTTGTTGTGCTTATTGCGAACATCTGGAGCCCTAACTCTCACTGGCCTCTCAGAGTTCCTCTCTGTATTTAGGCACTTTTGAATGAGTACTAATCAATTGGTAGTTAAAATGCAGCACTAAAATGCAACAAATTACACTTGCAAGGAACTATTATGACACTCTTACCTTAGTTTATGTCCCAAGTTGTAGAAAATGAGATAAGTTACTGTTAGTTCACTGGCGTTGTAACTAAACTGTGGCCCGAACTTTACCTTTGAGGCATAAGGAAGGTAAAAAGTTACCTGTACTACTCCTGAAATTTTCATGAAAATAAATTCATAGTTGAAATAACAATTTAAAATTTTATTTGATTAAAAGTTATTGAAGATTCCTCTAAAATATAAACATGTGTTTTGCCCAACTATTAAACAATTGTAAGGCTTGGGAACCAAGTAAGAAAAGCTAGCCATTTGAAATCAAATACATTTAGTTTACACCCAGAAATTTTTTAGCTTAGCACACTTTTGTTACTCTGTATCAATGATAGAAACTCTTCAACAAATAAATCATATGAAGTTGTAACAGAACTGTACAAAGTTTCTCCTGCTGGCCATGTACCTTCACACATAGAACATCCACCTTATGCCCACACTGGTAAAGTCCCAGATCCACCCCTCTCCACTGAGATTAAAACAGAGAAACAGATTGCTCTCATGAGAACAGCGTGCAGAACAGCCAGGAAAGTTCTCAATACAGCTAGAGATAATATCATGGTGAGAATTGTTTTTGCTCCTTTTATCTGATACTTATATTTCAGTTCCTTCCTTCATCTTTTCATCCAAGTGGTGTATCTAGTTCAAACCAATTGGTGAATTATTCTTAATTGGCATCTCTTTTCTCAGCTAGAAGGGACTCTATCATTCAATGGAACTTTGACACAATTTGCATGCAACAAACTTGGTGTTTATTGGTAATGATTATCTCAATGCAATGTGACCATGTTTGATAATGACGTCAGTTTGAACACTGAACTGTAGGATTTTAATAGAATTGACCTGCATACATTCATTCTAGAGAAGGAGTCTGTGTCAGTGAAGACTTATAGATTAGAGTGCCATGCAACAATGCACATCACAATCTTTTGCAATTGATTTAGTTTCATGAGTTAAGTCAGTTTTATCTCATTTTTTACTTGTTTTTTTTTTTTTTTTAAGGTAGGTGTCACAACAGAAGATATTGACCAGATAGTACACCAAGCTGCTGTTTCGTTTGGAGCGTACCCTTCCCCTCTCAACTACAAAAAGTTTCCCAAGTCTGTGTGTACTTCTGTTAATAATGTGGCTGTACATGGTATACCAGACAGGTAATCTGGTTGTTCTCAAGGATTACTTCATTTCATGTTGTACAACTTAGTAGTAGTTTAAATATGACATGATTTATAAAATGGCAGAGTACCTAGTAAGTTCTTAAAGTACCTTTGAAATTGCCAAATTTTGTTCAATATTGTCAAGTGAAGATCTGATCTGCTGATCATTTTTGGCAGGTATTCTTGTAGGACTGACTAGGATTAGGATTAATGTAATTTAAGTACTAAATGATTATACAACTTGTTGTGAAATTATATTCATCGAAGCCAAGAAAGTATTACTTAACGCCATATAAACCATGTAAGTGAAAAAAACACTCCAACTAACTTTTACTTTCAACACACTACTGCGAAAACTTCAAAACTAGTTTCGTCTACGACCTCGTCAGTTGATGACAAACAACTGATGAGGTTGTAGACGAAACTAGTTTTGAAGTTTTCGCAGTAGTGTGTCGAAAGTAGAAGTTAGTTGGAGTGTTTTTTTCACTTACATTGTTTATATGGGATTTATACAACTGATGTGTTCGAACAAAATTTGGCAAAAACACCACCATTATGGCTGTTGGTATATTTTGTTTGTCTTATTGCAGTCGACCTTTGCAAGATGGTGACATTATCAGTGTGGATGTTTCTGTAAGTGTAGCACAAAATATATCTCTTGAGTAAAAACATTGTGCACTCCTTTTTGTCACTTGAATAATGAATTTGTATGGTTGTTGGTCATTCTTCACATCTTTGAGCAGAAATAGGTTTGGATCAGTGGTCAGACAACTTACAATGATGAAGCATGATGTTTGTGAGTGATTAAATATTATGTGTTCAACTTGGGAACATTGTTTCAGAGGAATTGTATTCCTTTGCAAAGTTAATTATAGTAAATTAAATTATTACCTTTTGACGCATCAATCGTGGCAATACCTCAAATTCCCTTACACATATGCCAAAGACCGGGTAATCACCCTTAACAGTTAGTGCACAGAGGCCATAATCATGTCCTGTAGGAAAGTGTCGGTAACAAACTTGAGTTCTTTTTTTCTTTTCTTTTATGATATGAAATGTTCTTGTGTTTTTTTTTGTTTTCTTTTTTTAGGTCTTCATAGGTGGTATGCATGGTGACTTGTGTGCAACATATATGATTGGTTCTGTTGACAAACAGGGTCAGAGATTACTAGAAAGCTGTCAGCGTAGTCTTGATGCTGCAATTAGTATCTGTAAACCTGGAGTAAGGTTTTCTTTGATTGGAAACACAATCGAGTTAGTAGAACCACTTATTGGAGAATGTTGGCATAAATGTTGCTCTCTTATGTTGGTAATGGTTATGTTTGTTAGGGCTCTTTCATCATGAAAGTTTTTTTTTTTTTGGTTTCCAGGTCTGTTGCTAAGAAGGATGGATTCACAGTTTGTCCCAATTTAGCAGGTCATGGTATTGGATCATATTTTCATGGATCTCCAGAAATTTTGCATACAGGTTTGGGATACTTGCAAGGCTTGCATAGCTCCAAAGTTATGATTTTGTTCATTTTTATTAAAACCTTCTTACCCAAAAGAAGATCTCTATAGATTTTTGTGCGGGATCTGTAAAAAGATTGTCAATTCATCTTTTTCTACCATCTCTTGATAGAACAGGCAGTCCTAAAGTTTAATTTTTGTTGGCATTAAGCCTCCAGGCAGTATGCAATAGGCGAATTCATGCTGACGTCATTGTTTACATTTTTGCTCATTTGCATAGGGCTTTGCGTAAAGAAGGAAGCATGTTAGATACAAACTGACTTCAGGCAGCTAAAGAGCTAGAAAACCTTAGTACATGGTGAAATTTTTAGCTCTTTGGGTGTAATATTCAAGGAGAAATAGTCCATCAAAAACTGCAAAATTTCTGGGTGGCGCTAATTAGCTCATACATTCTATGTAAAATTTTGAGTTTTTAAACCTGTGTTGCACAAAAAGTATTGAATGCATCAGGCTCGTATTCATTGGCCGAGTTAATCGTACTTTGACCTTTCGATATTCAGAACTGATTTAGTTTTAGCTCCATCAGAAACTGAATTGCTTATGCTAATGAGGCAAATATTGTGAACAAGGATTCCCCTATATTACCAATGAAAAACTGAATGCCCTTGAATATCATTCTTTTTTGCTTTTCTTTCTTTAATTTTTTTGTTTTAGGAATCCAATAAGCTAGATAGGCAGTGCAAGGTGTCTTTTTATTCTGGTTTCATTTGATTTTATCCAACTCACAGGATCCTATGTAAACCACAGAATCTCTGTTAAAAGTTAAAAATTCCTACAAAATGTTAGCCTTTTATTTCTTGTCTTCTTCTCTTTCTCTTTTTTTTTCATAATAGGAAATTATAAACCTGGTAAAATGGCAGCAGGCATGACATTTACTATTGGTAAATATCTTTACTACTGAACAGCAATTTATGAATATGTGTGATATTACCTGGCAAGAACCTCCTTCGGGTAGACTTTGTGAAGCACTGACTGTTGGCATTGTAAGCAAATTACCTGTCCTTTTCCAAAGGACTAATATTCAAGTATTGGTTTCTCAGCTTAAGTATTTTTGGTGCTCTCAGACTTGCTCATGGTGCAGATTAATACTTTGGTAGCCTCAGCTGACCACTTACAAGGATGACTATGCATGAAGAAAAAGTTTAGGTGGGAGTTTTTGCCAGTGGGACTTTGTAAAGGCAGCAATGGGAGGAGTGTTTTCATTAGCATGCTGTCTACTGATAAAAGTTTTATACATGAAAATGTATCTTTCATTTTATAAAATGTAGTGATTTTGTTAAATATTCAGAACCAGTACTTTGTGAAGGATCTTCAGAAATAGCTATTCTAGGCGATGGTTGGACTGTTGTTACAAAGGATGGCAAAAGGTTGAGTACTAACTAAAATTAAGTTGCTATTGATACACAACACCAGTTTTTATTCACCCAGGCTTAGTAATTAGTGATGTATGAACATGATTTGGTAAAATTTGTTCTCATGTGACACACTGCAGGAGATTTACTAGTTGTTGAAAATTCTGCTAATTCAAGCTTGAAGGCTAAGCTGTCTTAGGGGCTTAAGGAACCATTCTATGGCCAGTGTTGGTCACGGTCATGGTTTGCCAAATACAAGAAATGAAGATGTCAAGAATGTATCATGGCAAAGGCATAATAAGCTAGGTTAATGGAACTGATTGGAAAAGATGAGAGACTACAAAACAACGATTTTTTACCAAAAAAAAATGTCCTGCATATACTGTTAGGGGAAAACTACTCTAATGTCCTTTTCCTCTATGGATGTTGAAATGAGCATTATGTTTTCTCATTTCAGCATAGACAAACGGTATTTTTATCTTTAGACTTCTTATTTTTAATGTATGCATTTTTTTTTCTTTTTTCTCAGGACTGCACAGTTTGAACACACTGTTTTGATAATGCAATCTGGTGTTGAAGTGCTAACTGCTGATACCAAAGATTGACCATGAAAAAAAAATTATTTTATGTTTTATGGAGAACATAACAGATAAACAATAAATGAAACAAATTTTGCATCCTCTGTGGTATTTTCATAAGATTTTTATCTTTTAGCAACATTATCTTGTGAATTTAAACTTACTAGGCTATATTATTCTGAGTTGTTTTAAAAGATAAAATGCACATTTTCTTTACTTACTATTTTTATATTTTATTTTGTGAAACTGAATCCTACTTTATGTTAAGATTAAGGTTTTATGATTTGGATACTTTACTCTCGGTTTAAAACTATTCCAAGGATTTTGATTTTACCATCCTTTGCTTCAGATTTATGGTAATGAATACAAAAGATTAGACCACCTTTTGCATCAGACTTGAAACCACACCCAGGGGGGGTACTTTAGAATTTTCTGGGTGGGGATGTGCTGCAGGAACCCTGGAACCCTTAACCTGTACTAGAGCTAGTTCAGCTGAATTATGCTACCCTATACTAGAGTAAATTCCCCAAACCCCCCCCCCCCATCCTAGAGTAGCTGTTTTCCAGCTAAAACAAAGAAGCACTTACCTTCTTTCTCTAAGTTACAAAAAAGCTAGTCCACCTTCCTTCCTTGTATAGTCTCGAAGATTAGTCCTAAATGAATCCTAATTTTGGATGGGTTTTGGACACGGGTTTTTGATTTTCAACCCCGTATTCAACCTAGTTGCGTTGCAAGTTACATGCTGAGCTCCGTGGCTGAGCTATGCCAAGCATGCACGTACGCCATTATAAGGAACAATAAATTGTTCAATTTTAACCAGTAATAAAACCACCGACTTCCATCTCAATCCCAATTTTTGACAGTTAATAATATCCAGTACTGTTTTATGATAGCCGTCTATTGACACTTTCTTTGCTTTTACTCCCGGGGCTGAGTTGCGTAAATTTCAACTTGTTGATTTGATGTTTTTATATGTTGGAGTGGTAATTCTCGGTTTCCCCAGTCTAGACAAGATCTTCAACCAACTGATCAGTTTCTTGAAAAATGATACCCTATTCTAGACCCAAATGCTCTGAATTATATACCCTATCCTAGAGTAAACTGCTTGAAAACCATACCCTTCACAGCGGCACATACCTATACAGCCCATATATGGCAGTACCCCCCCCCCCCCGAACCACACAATGTGTACAGTGTTCTTCAGAAGCACAAATGGGCAGTGTTTTCACCAGTTACTTGTTTCTGAAGTACTAACAACATAATTAGTCCAAGCAGTTAAATTCCTGTATGGATCTAAAACACATCTGGCTTACGTTTCATTATAGCTGGCTTAAAAATGTCAGGAGAATACTGTAAGTACTTACACTAACTTCAGTGAACAAAAAAGTTTGTTAAATACACACCACTGAGTTCAAACAACGTTAATCGCTCGCTGATCCCAAAGAGAATGCTGAAAAATATGCCAACTGTTTGCTCGTACCCGCCGGGCGTGGCGTAGAATTTCGGCTGCGGGATTTAATGGTGATAAACAAGTCTATCACCCGCGTAAGAAATTACATCGTGTTGCTAGCACGCACTGCATGCCTATTCGGTTGCCTTAAGTCCATAATGCTGTGCGAACCCGAAGTCGTACCAGTACTTCACATATCTGTTGTTTCGGTGTTGCACCATTCCTAGAACGCCTGAGAATATATAGTCGTCTTCCTAAACGATTTGTTTTACGGTTTGTCTTTTGTAAAGGTCAGATTTTCTGGTTTTATCGATAATTTACGAGAAATGCACCCGCAGAGTTCTGCTGGGCGTCCAAAAGGGAAGTGTAAAGGAGTAATTGTTTCGACAAAGAAAGACAACATGGCGGCTGAAGTTCCCATCGCCAACCGCCACGTGGAAAGGCCGATTACTGGCGGCTACGCTTTCTGTGCGTCGCCTCTGTACGAATCCAAGCCTCGTCTTTGACACTGGTAAGATTTAATTTTGCGTAAAAGGCTACTTCTTTATTTTCTCTAGACTTTGCGTGTTTTCTGAAGAATAAAATTACAGGAATATTAGATCCAATCTCTTGATAACACGACTGAAACTGTTTACAGTAAATGCGTTGAAGTTTAAAGTTTCACCGATTTAATTTTTGAATAAGTACTTTAAAAGGACTTTCGGTGCTGATGGTGACACACATTTTGACGATCGGTCTGAACGAAAGTCCTCTTCCTCGACCTCCTTGGGGTTTTCTATCCAACTCGGAAAACAACCAACTCGTCATCTAGAAATACGAGCAATGGAACAACGCACAACGAACCTTCTTTAAATATTTATTTTCAGTCCTTTAACTCAACAAATAGATCGAGTCGTTTCTTTCAGTGACAGTTATTTAATTATCCTAATTTATTACTTGTACTTTAATCGCCGAGAACTTTGCTCTCCTCTTTAAATCTTTGCCTTTAAAACCTACCTTGTAACCTCGAGGTAAATGGTCAGAGGGTATTTTCATAGATTACGCCAGCTCTGTAGATCTCTCTACCAGAAGAGATAAGGAACTGCAAGTCATTGAATTCTTTTAAATCTAACATTAAGAGATTTCTTTTTAAACGTTTCCATAATTGATGTGGGATTATACTGTTTCTGTTTACCTGTTAACATTGTTAATGCTACGGAAACATTTGTAGCTTAAGACCATCTGTAGAAATTTTGCATTAATATTTTGTTACCCCTTATTTTATTACATAATTTCAATGACTGTAAAGCACTGATAGATACTCTGTGAAAAGATTGAGTTATAATCATTTGTTATCATTGTTATTTTACTATTGTGTATTGGTTTTTTTTTCTGTTTTTGTATTGCCATGAAAGGTCATCTTCACCCAAAAATGTTTTAAAAAGAAATTGAGGACAGGTGGTTACCTTGTCCAAGTTATCCATATGAAGTTATATTATTAACAGTACAAAGTTGTAACTTATCTTTACCTTTCTGTAGGGGCTTTTGACCTTGCCTCCCCAAAAACTAAGGATGATCTTCTCAGGACTTCAGTTCTAGATGAAGGTGACAGCCTCTGGTCTGTTGGTCCTGTTCCAGATTGGAACAAGGCAAATCCTGGAGAACTTTTCTTTGACCAAGTAGCTGAACTTGAGAAGCTCATTCCAGGGGAGAGAAGCAAGGGACACTGTTTGGAGGAGTCTTGGATGGCAAATGTGGAATTTCTCAAGAGTGAAGAGATCATCAACAACTGGGCTGGTCCAGAAGAAAAACTTGATGGAATCAACCAAGCTGATAACATATGTGCTGGAGCTCAGAATGTTGGCTTGGATATTTGTGGAGGAAGGAAGGTGGGAAGTATAGATTTCATTATGATTGAGCAACAAACACAAGAACATGGGCTGAATGGGGAGGCAACAGAAGCAGCACTGTTTGATGTTACTCAAGATTCTCCTTCATCAGTTGGAAGTTCTTGCAGTGATGAAGTTTCAGACAAGAGACTAAGGAACAACAAGGCTTCCAGAAAGTTTCGTCGTGCAAGAAAGGAAAGAAATCATTCGTTGTTTGCAAGAGCATCAAAGTTGGAGCAGGAAAACCAGGCCCTGAAGCTTCAAGTTAATCAGATGCTTCAGGAAGTAATTTCTTTGAGGTCCATGTTCTCAAATAATACTTTTCCTGGTCAAGTTTGACTTTTTTCAATTAAGATTTCATTTCGTAATTTTTTTTTTATGAATGCTAACAATTGTGTGGTAAAGGTTTCTTAGGTAATCACTTACTTTATAGTAGTCTTGGTTAATTACTGTTCCAAGAAACTTATATTTCAAGTATGTTATGACCACAAGTGTTCAATTGAAAGAGTGATCCTGACTTTATAGATTGTTTGTTTGATTACTTTTAATGTCATTGGTACTGTTAAAATCTAAAGCAGTGTAATTTTCTGATGTTGGGTTAAAATACATATATCCTCTTTAGAACTCACAGACTATTCTAAAGTATATTCTCTTTTAGATAGTTTTTTTTTCTTTTGTAAGAGTTAGTGTGTTGCATGTATGCTGTTATTGTGCAATGCAAATGTAGTTTCCATGATCATTTCATCTGTACGCATAATTTTAAAGGAGTCAAAGGACTGTTTCTTATTTACAAGTATAAATTTGGTGTTCCAATGACTATATGATGTAATGTAGACATAAATATTGTTATTTAAGTGATAGAATTTGTTCACTATTAAAATTTTTATTCATGTCGTTAAAGGTGCATACCATATTTTGTTTGGCCATCTGATTTCTTCAGACTGAGCTAGTCCATATTTGACAAATCAAAGCCCTGAGTCCAAAGAAATGTAATTTTAAGTGGCCGGGTAAGAACAAATTGGACAGTCAGTGGATTTCAACTTGGCCTTTCCTTTTTTGCTCTCTCTTTTGCTCTCTCTTTTGCTCTTACTTGTCAGTCATTTTGAAACTCCACTCTTGTTCCCACCAACTTTCTTCAGGGTTTCTCAAGTGGCTTTAAAATAGTGACACATTTTAAGAAAGTTGTTGGTGGACAGACTTGTGTTACCACTGCTCCAATGTAATCCTAATAATATTTTGTGCTACAGTGTAAAGTAAATTGAACTTTGGACCAAGGATAAAGAACCTAGTGAACAAGGTGATAACATCATCGCGTGTCGAACAGTTCCTCTCAACGTGATCATCTGGATTTGCGAAAGCCTAGGAACGAGGCAACACCGTCACGCAACCTCAATGGTGACAGAGTTAAATTCGCTTTTCCCTCTCGGTGACTGATCGTGGTCCCAACTGTGCACAGTGGAATGCTTCCCACGAGGACCGGACGGCTTTTTTTACCGACCATCCAACTTATTCTCAAATCGTCCTTGGATCGGCGTATTTTGCCGCGGTTTGCAGCGATACAATATGGCGGACACTTACCGGAGACTTCATGGTCAAACTCCTGCACTGTAAGCTCTACCTGTACATGTAGGATTGATGTTAGCGAACGTTGGACTGATTTTCCTCACTCAAGCAATTCAAAAAAATTTGTAGTTTCTGTTTTTTTTTTCCTTCGGCGTGAGCCCCTCGCATGGCGATTTTCCCAGCCGTGTTTATTTGGTTCAAATGACGAAAATATACCGGCAAGCTTTATGATGATCATGACGCACTTTCGTCGCAAAGAGGTGAAACTGGCAAAGCGAATGGAAATATGGATAAAGGTGCTTTCATCACAGTGTATTTGTGCACCAGCTTATTTAGTTGTAAAAGCTACTTCTACAACTCGCTGATAGGCATAATGCAGTTATAATATATGCCAGTTTAGCAGCTGCAACTGTAGCAGTCTTCCTTACAGATGTGGCCATAAGCTGGCGTTTGCCCACAGACTTCAGGCTGAGTCCCTTTTAAATCCTAGCCTCCTTTGTTAAGGAAACGAGGTTTCCTTCTGATTTCAATTTCAGATTCGTTTGCTATGTACCACTGATGTCTTAAGGCAGAAGGATTTAAAACATTTCAAAGAAGGAACCCAGAAAAAAGACAACTTACATGATGATCATACAAAGGGCAACGAGATCTACAGAATGCCACATCCTATTTGGTAGGTTTATATTGTGAAAATAATGTGGAATAATTTGGACAACAATTAGAGCCGAAGAGATATTTTAGTTACATGTTCATTTGTTCAAAGACGCTTTTTAATTTACGATTTTTTATAATTTAATTGCTATGTTAATTAGTCTAATTTTGTAAAGCGCTACGGAGAACTAGTCGAGCTTAGCGCTATATAAATGATTTATTATTATTATTATTATTATTATTTTTAATTGTCCTTATTTTAGTACAGAACCTAACCTAACCTAATTAACAAAAACTTGACAAACTATACCAGAACTTGGCTAAGAGGAGGGGCACTTGTTGGAATTAAGGAGGGCACTTGATTGAGGGGGGCCCCTCTTAAGTTAGCCCAGTTATAGGATATAAATTTAGAAAATAGGTAACGTGCACAAAGGAACTCTGGAAACATAAGGAGATAGAAATAACTCTAAGTGACATAACAGGAGAGGGACTATTTTACCATGTGTCTCATTCTCCTATAGTTTAAGCTTAAACTAAAGTGGCAACAGAAACAAGTTTTACAATTCCTTGATAATATTTTGTACAAGGTCAGAGGAAGAAGTTAATACTGTAGAGATTACTCATCAAGAGGCAAAGACAAAAGTTGACAAGGTATTCTTAAATATGGTAATCAAAACATGTTAACTTTAAATCAAACATCTTTTTGTTACAATCATTACAGTTTTCCTGATTATTTTACATCTTCAGAACCATTGTCAATGCAAGGGTTGGCATGCTGGATGCCAAATTTAAACATTCTTCACGAGAGTTTTGTATTATCACATTTTGAATACTGCAACTCTTTACTTATGGGTATAGGTAAAACACTTAACAAGAAACTGGAAGATGCGAACTATTATGGTCTACGAACTATAACAAATGTGTGAAAAGTACTGATTATGAATCAATCCTTCAATCAATCAATCAATCAATTTATTTAATGTGGTCAGAATGCTAAGCTAAATGCTAGTTTACAGGTAAGCCAAGAAATAAAAAGAGAAAAGGAAATTATAAAGCCTTGTGAAGGTATATAAATTTAAATAGATTGAGATTAAGAACTAGATAATATTAAAATATTAAAATTTAAATAAATTGAGATTAAGAACTAGCTAATATTAAAATATAAGAATTTAACAATGTAGTCGCCAAGTTGAATATATAAAATGTAATCATTAAAAGAGGAAATATGATTAAGGATAGATCCTCACCGTGCTAGAGTCCCGCGAGATCTAATGTTTTTAAGTAATTTTTAAAAGTAGTAAATGTTTGTATCTTTCGAGACTCGTCCGGTAAAGCGTTCCATAGTTTCGATGCAGCATATCTCCATGATCTTAACCCAAAAGTTGTTGATTTTACTTTTGGGAGGTCTAGTATTGTGGTGCCCCTAAGGTTATAAGTGGAGCACCTAACTGTTATAAGATCACGTAAGCTTTTTGGTCCTGCATCGCTGGTTAATATCTTAAAGACAGTGGACAATATTTTTGCTAATCGCTGTTCACGAAGACTTTAGAGACCGATACGCTTACAAAGTTCCTCATAAGGCGAGGACTTATCTCTAAAAACAAAATGGAGCACACATTTGTTCACCAACTCTAACTTGTCAACTGACTTCTTATTACAGAAGTGCCACGTTTCGGAGCAGTAATTAAAGTGTGGTAAAATGAAGGCTTTGTAAAGATCGCTTTTAGTCTCAAAAGACAACATTTTCTGCATCTTTTTTAACACAGCCACCTGTTGACTGACTTTTCTACATATTTTAGTAATGTGCTTTTCAAAATTTAATTTTCTAAATTAAAATCCGTAGGATGGTAAACATGAATACATTAGAACATAGACGTATTGAACAATCTTTGATAGTATTTTTTAAATGTTTCAGGGAGAATGGTCCAGACTATATAGCCGATTTATTTAAACCCCGAGTTACACCATGTAATCTTAGAAGTAGTGGTTTAAACATCGTACAAACTTCATATAATAGCAGATTCCTTCATGGCTCATATGCGTATATGATCTCACGTATTTGGAATCAGTTACCATCTGCTGCCAAAAAATGCATCTAATGCATCATCCTTCCGGAGACTTTTAACTAAGTTAAATTTTATTGGCTGTCAATGCAGTGGTTGCCCTTAATTCGTTTTTTTTTTTTTTTAAGATATACATTATTTCTAATTTAATTGGTGCTATTACAATTTTAGCTTTCTTTTATATTGTCAAACACTTTTATCATGAGCCTCTGGCTCGGGGGATCGGGAGACCACACTGTGTATTTTTTGACATTAAATAAATGATCTTATCTTATCTGCTGAGTTTTCGTCATTGCATTGAGATTGTTATCAGACTGAAGAATTGTCAGTGGAAAAACTTGACAAAAAAAATAATGGATAACGAATGGACTGACACCTCATTTAGGAAGGAGTTAAAATGGTCATCTAGATTAAGCAACTGTGTGGCCCAGTACGGACAGTTTTTATCCATTCATATATTTATAAATCTATCAATTTTATTAATTGTAGGCTGAGAAAGGAAGGTCACAAAGAACCTCAGCTGATCTCAGTACACAAAAACCTTATTTATTTAGGTTTTATTTTCTGTTGTTACATTTTAGCTTGCCTATTACTGTGTGCAGTTCTTGAGGGTATCATTTGATATTGTTTCTTTGTATAAAGTTGGAAAGATGACAGAGAACAAGTGGTTAAAGTAAGTTAATATTTTGATAGTCTTTTAGTTCATGACTACCTGTTGTTCACATGAATGGATTCTGGGAAATAATTAAACAAGGGAAATGAAATATAATTACATTTGTACAAAGATCAATGTTTGTTGGGGAACTTATTAAGTCTTTACCAGTAAGAGGTTTATCACTAAAATATATCAACAGTCAACCATAAAGGCTCGATATTAGAGTGATGGTCGAGCAATATTCAACTGATTGTGGTCTAATACCTTGTTCCTAGCCTCCTTCAGTTATGTAATGAATTATTACATTACAAATTGAAAAATTTGAAAAATGTCCTTTTAAAATGTCATGCTAAAAGTGCTCTTTGTTCAAAATGGAAGCAAGGCTCTCTTTGCTAGAATGTACCTTCTCATGTTTTCACAAAAACAATTTGAATAGTGTTGTATTTTGTAATTCCCAACAGTCGTATCATCATGTTGGAGACAGTAGCCGGGGTGCCTGGAATGATTGCAGCGATGGCTCGTCATTTTGACTCACTGAGGAAACTTACCAGGGATCATGGATGGATTCATACATTGTTAGGTATTGGCTAATTTATTTTTCTACAAAAGTTAAACAAATGAAAATGAATGCAATGTCAATTTTCGTTTTTCATCAGAGGAAGCAGAGAATGAGAGAATGCATTTAATGACAGCATTGGAACTAAAACAACCAGGGGCTTTATTCCGGGGCATTATATTGCTTGCACAAGGTGAGCATTTATGTGGTAAAAATCACATTACTCCATAAATTATATGGTAGAAAAAATTAGTTCATGTGTGAGTAAGTGGGTTGAATGACCAATTTACTTTGCTAATGTGATTAAGCATGGACTTAGAATACATAGAAATTTCCTGCAAAGCTAATTTTCCTGATTTTTTCTTTTTTGTGGACAATTTATAGGTGTCTTTGTCAATTGCTTCTTTCTGGCATATATTTTAAGCCCCAGGTTTTGTCACAGATTTGTGGGATATTTAGAAGAGGAGGCAGTCAAGACTTACACCTACTGTTTAAAGGTAATTTCAAATTTCACCAACTTAAAAACCTTTCAGCATTGTTTTGTTTACTTACTAAGTCACAATTCCTTGTAAGATTTCAGGATCTTTTCTTTAAAATTAATGCACACTGTGAACATTGTTGAAATATCTTTTACTGTATTTTTGTGTGTATTCTCTAGTTCAAGGGGCTAATGGTTTGACTATATCACTTTTTTAGTGAGATTTTCCATGATGCAACGTCTTATTTTTCCTTTGCTTTCGAGATTTTAAAAAAAAGTTAGAAAGGTTTTATTAGGTAGCATGTTCCTAGACCCATCATGGAAGCTTCAGAATTGTCTGTTGTCTCATAGAAAATATGGTAATTGCAGAAGCTCTTTAAGAGACACGTCCTTCATACTTCCTGGAGTTTCTCTGTTATTTGTATTTGTAAGATTATATGCTGTGGCAACTGAGGATAAGCCTGGATAGAATCCTTGTTGTAATAGAGCAAGTTACTCATGGGCAGTAATTTAAGGTTTCTCACTCAAAACACAGAATTGAAAAATATACACTTCACTCATTTAATTTAGTAAGACTGTTCAAATTACAATAGTTTTGTCAAATATGATGCTGTTAAAAGCAACTGGCTGCAAGGTGACTAAATCGGAAAAAAAAAGGTGCAAAAGCAACGCAAAGATCAAGTTTCTAATCTTCATGTTTAACTGGCTGATAAAATATGTTTTCCGAAAGTAAAAGGAAAATTAAAAAAACTGCAACTAGATAAAATCTAAGCCGTCAGGGCTTCATCAGTGTTGCTTGGTCTACTTTAGAAGTGCCAGGCCTCAGGCAGAGCTAACGGTCATCAAGAACACACTGAAGGAAACTGATGAACCAGCGTTGCTGCAGTCGCTGTCACAGCAACCCACTGCGCATTCTCCGTCTCTGTTGTTGTCTCATTCTTTTTTGGCAGTTTCACAGCCGGCCTCATTCCCACATGGCTCGGCCACTAAGGTTTTGTCATCATTTTTGCCCCAGACTCTGATACATTTACCAGTTAGACAGCTGGCCGAGTATTTGGTCTTGTCAGCTTCCAGTTTATCCTTCTTACAGTCTTCTTCTGTTCCTAAGTACTAATAGCACTTGATAGTACTTAATAGCACTATGAACTGTAGTGGAATAAATCATACATGCAATGTGTGTAAGTTCCCTCGAAATAAAGAGGCACCGTTTGATGCGCTAAAAAGTCGGGAATAAAAAGACAACTGCAGCTTCGTTGATTATGTGGTAAACCGATTATGTGATCAACTCCCGCTCTCCCATTTTACAAACAATATCCTTTGATTATTTTTTTGATATAAAAAAAATAAACACAGTCCACATCACGAAACGTTACTTTGGGTGCAAATTTCTTCTGAATTTTATCTGTCAGGAGACATCTGCGTCAAAAACGATTCGAGAAAGTCAAAAATTGCCAGCTGGATCATAGTTAGTAGAGGGGGGACTCTACTAACTATGACTGGATAGATCATGGCGTGCCGGTCCTTCCAACACCTTTTATTTACACAATCAACCGAACCAACTACAGTACAGCTTGTCGTACGAAACTCGTTATCGCACACAAGAAAATCAAAACATCAAAAAGCCCACTGCAGATTCACAACTAAGAAAACAAAACACTACCTTACTAAAATGATTTTAAGCCAACAATTTGCGTAATTGAAACGCGTATGATTGACAATTACCCGTTCACTTCACAGTTGTTGAAAGTTTCTCCGAATGACTGCAGTTTCCCAGTAAAAAGGGGGTGGAACTCCACCAATAAAACTGTGACAAGACACAGACGATAAGGTTGACCATAGGATACAAGGTGCAGGAAAATAAAGCAAATGAAGGAGTCTTCTTCGGAATCTTAGTTTTTAAGTGTTTCGAAAGAAGTGATATTCAAATCATACTTGTAACGACCTTCCCGTCTAAGAGTAGCCATGTACAGAACAAACTCATACCTACCGACCGATCGACCTTACGCTTTGTGTCCTGACTTTTCTGAACCTTATTTGGAAGGATGAGTGCTTCTATTATGGTTTACATTTCTTGAATAACAATCGAACATTATTTCCGCATTATTTACCAAGAGACAAAGAAAAGAATGAAAGGCAAATAACGACGGTTAGAATGTGCATGTCCACAAAAGCTGAGTGTCTGAGGTTTTCTCCAAATTCCAGCGGAAACTTAGTAAATCTCATTATTTCAGCGTTTTGAACTGATACGAACTTCGTGCTCACTTTTCTCTGCTAATATGGTTTGGTTATTGACTACGAACACGTTTCCCAGGTACTGAAGCTTCGATGAAATGACCTCAGAGCTTTAAATGTTTTTTAACGGGATATCTAAGCGAGCTATGCTCTTGACCATTCAACAAGATCGATCCGTGATGCGGACTTGGTTATGTGTAAGATTCACAGAAACAGCTCAAAAGAAACACACCAGTTGCAAGAACTGCGCAAAAGACGAAAATGCTCAGCAATAGACCCTTCATTCTGTGTTTTCCCTCCACAAGTATTGCAAACTGCTCTGACAGCCAGCGCCCTCGACAAATAAGAATGACTGGTGAATAAAACGTCTATAATATGAAGGGAAGTTCAACCAATAAGGTTGCCTGTTTAAAATAGATGGCCAATCAGAACATTCCAACTCACAACCCTCAGAGTGAATTACAATTATTAACTATGTATCAACTTTCAATGACTGCTCACAAGTAAAATCACAGAGTATTGACATAGATTCTTTCTTAAACAAGAAAAGCTTTTGTGCGACCTGGGCCTTAGCGCGACCTATCATTCCCATGCTAATCCCTAGATTTCGGCCACTGTGCATGCGCAACGTTAACATATTTACGTATTTTGCGAGCTGTGGTATTTGAAAAAAAGAGACTGATGTTCTTTTCCTGCATGCTAGCGCATTGGCTTGCAATCGCGAACCACTTTTTTTAAAAGGACAATAAAAAAACTGTCAACACGAAACCTTTTTCAGTATGAAAGATTTTATTTAGACAATGAACGGCCGGCCCTCCTTTTGGATGAAGTCTGGTGCGCGAGTCCGCTGGAAATCATTCGCAGGCGGTCATGTGCGTCANACCACACCCTGAGCTCGATTCATCTCAATGAAAAGAATCCATTCTCACCGGGTCAAAAGAAGCTTTAACTAAACAAGCTATACATCACAAGAATGGATCCGAACTGTTCATTACAAACACAGTAGGACAACCTTCAAAAACTAACCTCAGTTATTTAATCATCTCGTAGCTAGTCAGTAAAAACTGAGGAAGAACCATCCTCGAAGGATCATCAGTATCTTTAGGGTTATTAGAAAGGGGTACGTGAACATTTCCCAAATAAACAAAAGTGAAGGGTACTTGGCTGTTTAACCTTGCCGCCTCGGTTTCTTTCTCGTTGCCAGTCTTCGCATGTAACGATGAGTGATAACGAGTGGTTCTGGAAACGAGAATGCCCCCTTTGGTGTTTCACTCTACTGCCACTTAAAGATTACATATCCATAATTTTTTGGGCTCCCTTCACTTCCTCAGGCACGCACATTTCATTCGTTTCTAACGACGCTCCCTTCCATTGACCTTAGTTTTGACTTTGCCATGAACACAAATATTTGCATCCCTTATTCTTTATCTATTGAATTAAGTATTAAGTTTTAACATCAGCTTACAACGCAAACCTAATCGAGTAATTCAAGTTATGCATCATAAGCTAGCAGCCATTTTAAACGCACAGCCTGAATTTTTGCCAATCAGAAATTCGACAAAGAAAATCAAAGAGAGGGCCGAAAGTACTTACTGGGGCTTCCGTAGGAAAGTCCGGGTCTTAAAATGCAAGCCGTTCTTGGTCGCCGAAATGGGGGTCATGTTCTCAGCCGTTCCTTAACGTAAACCGTGGAAACTGGGGATGAGTGCGCGACAACTTGTGTTATCATGTACACGCTCTTCATAAACAACATAATTTACAGAATGCTGTGTTTGTGGAGACCGCACGGCAAAGATTCCTGTCTTATATGCTCTTCTCACATACAAACGCACAGGCCGTTCCTGGTAGGCCCACACTTAACGATGTCGAGCGTTTTCGCTAATGTACTTATTATTACTTCTATTTTTCCTAATGTACTTAAAGTCTCAAGAGTAACTCCAATATTCAAATCTGGGAATGCAACAGATCCTGCAAATTATAGACCCATAGCAGTCTTAGCACTATTTAGTAAAATCCTAGAAAAAATTGTTAATGATGAACTCATCCTATTTCTAGACAAATACAATATCTTGTTCAAATACCAGTTTGGGTTTAGAAAAGACTATTCCACTGAGCTTGCTATTTTAGAAATAACTTACACTCTTAAAACCTCAATTGATAACAATCTCTTAACATGCGGGGTCTTTCTAGATTTCTCCAAACCCTTTGATACTGTCAACCATGAGATCATTGCTGCCAAGGAAATTACATAATATTGTAAGAAATAGACAACGTTTTTAAGAGACATGTTTCGGCATGCTTATGCCATCTTCAATCAATGAGTAACTGAACGTGGGTAATTATATAACAGATAAGTAGATGAATAAGATATTTGCAGTATGATGTAATACAAAAGCGGGTACTAATAACGTGACACCAAGCATCAAAGGTGTGAACTAAAACGCTAGAAAAGTGTTATAATGCTGTAATTGTTTGTTAAGTTCAGGTTTGGTCTTATTTACATTAAAAGCTTCTTTGACTTTTAAATCAATTGAGTTGTTAGCAGAATCCAGAATACTAAAGCAAGAAAGGGAGTATTTGTTCTTACTAGAAGGAGATGTGTTGAAATACTTAAAAATATGCGAGGTTTTATCGCTTTCCGTGTGCTCCTTTATCCTAGTGGAGAAGTGGCGACTAGTTTCGCCAATATAACGGGAATTACAACCCGCACAAGAAAATTGGTAAACTACCATGGATTTTAGAGCATCAGGAGTACGATCTTTAACACTGACCATGTTTTTAATTTTAAAAGAAGGGAAAACTAGTTTGATATTAAGGTCCGATTTGAAAAAGCGCTTAGTGAGTTGTCTGAGTTTACGGTTCGCTATTTTAGAATAATAGCCGACAAAAGGGAGTTTAAAGTAACGTGATAA